GATGAAACGGAAAAAGAAGAAACTACAATAGCCTGTGAGAAAGACTCGACTGTATCAAATATAGAAGCGAATGATTCTGTTTTATGTTTAGAAACCATCGAAGGAGACAATAATGCCGAAGTTGAAATAGCATTGCCTGGGAACGACAATAAGACTGTAACAATTGAAGAAAGTAATGCAGTTGAAAGTTCCTGCAAAGAAGATGCAGCGGTTCATGTAGATGCAGAAGCAACAGAGCTGGATATATCTAACTTGACGGAAAAGGGCGCAGCGGTTCACGTAGATGCGGGAGCAACGGAGCTAGATACATCTAATTTAACGGAAAAGGGCGACACAGAACATTTGTTGACTCTCGAAGATTCGTGTAAAGTTCCAGATGATAGTGACGGTGCGACTGTAAATGATGTCGCAAAATCCACCAATGACAATGTTACTGCGGACGAGTCCGAAACGTCATCTAAAGAAAAAACTAAAGATTGTGATGTCCCAGATGAGTCGAGTAGTAACGCGGATGACGTGCAAATATCTCGGGGAGAAGCTGCGAAGAAGATGGATTCGGAATCTTCGGACAGTAATTTAGATAATCCCGAGAAGGATCTGTCCGAGAAGAACATTGAGCCCGAAAACACGGAGTTTATACAATTCTCTCACGACAAACAAGACGATTCCCAGATTGAGGGCCAGTCTATGGACGCGGAGGATCCGTTCGGCGGTGACAATCTTACGTCCGAAAACGTGGAACAGGCGGAAATCGACGGTCTTGCTGAAAACGAGCTCAGTTTTAAAAAGTTATACGAGCAAGGTGATAATTTGCAGGATGCGGTAAATGCTAGAAATAACGATTGTAATGAGAAGCTTAGCGTCGATTCAGCATTAAACGATCCGAAGGATGCCGACGTCGACAAAACCACGGACAATATTGCTGAATCGTCGAGTAATGTACAACCTACCGTCGATTCTCTCGAAAATACCTCAATGGACATTGATCTTCCGGGTACTAGTACGTCAGAGGCAGAAACGGGAAATATGTTTTCCACAAAATCAGCCGGTGAACAAGATGAGCAGCCCAAGAAGAACATCGAAGAAATTACACCGATGGAAACGGACGAGGAGCAGACCGACGTATTGCCGGGACAAGATGACGAATTATGTATTATCCCAGACAGCATGAAAGTAATAATACCAAATAAATCAGGTAAAACGGTGGAGGGCGATCAAAGCGAATCTGCACTTGCCAATGATTCTAAATGCGAGGAAAAATCAGCGAAATGTAGCAAATCTAATTCCGAGCTTGAAAAGGATACTTCACCAGATGAATCCAAATCGGCAACTACGGAAAATGAAAATAAAGGCGAAAGTGCCGTAAAGCAGAAGGTGACTGTTCCAGATGAGCTCAAGTCAACGACAGAAAACTCAATGCCAGCAACGGATGTTATTAATATCGATGACGAGTCGAAAAATTCTGAAGTTGAAGAGATTAGTAATAAAGATGTTTGTAAGCAGTGCGGCGAAGAACGAGCGTGCAAAATTCGGGTGAAACTCGGTACGGAACATTATTTTGTATGCTCGAAAACGTGTAAGGCATTATTTAAAGCAGCTCATCATAATAAAGCAATCGATATGCCGAGCCAAGGAGCCCACTCTAAACAAGAGAAGCGTTGTGCGAGTTGTTTATCAGTTATAGAACCAAATGACGAACGAAATCTTTCCTGGGAAACAATGGAATACTGCAACGATCAATGTTTGGGAAAGTTCCAACGGAAATACGGAAGTTTCTGCAAAAATTGTAGTGGTACAGTTCAAGCTGTGAGTTTAGGGAAATACTGCGTGAGATTCGGTTGTGACGTGAGGCAGTTTTGTTGTTCAACGTGTTTAGAGGAATTTAAAAAGGGTTTAAAAGTCTGCAGCTACTGTCAAAAAGACATAAGTTTTGGCACGGATGGCTTCCTTGCACCAGTCGGGGAGAAAGGACAGTTTAAAGACTTTTGTACCCAAGACTGTATGGAAAAATATTCTAAATTGAATTCTTCCGTACCGCCGGCTACGGAAAAAAAGCCATGCAGCGTCTGTCAGGAGGTAAAAGACTAATTTTTCTGATCCTTATTCTTTAAATGTATTATGGATAATTTTTTAATATGATTTTTTTTTTCTCATAGGAAAAGCTCGTACACTGCGAAGTTCAAATATACAATAGCACTCCGGTAGCTATATGCAGCGAACCCTGTTTCGCTGCATTTAAGTTTGTGAAACAAGTCAGACCTGAGCAGTGCTCTACCTGCAAGAAATTTTTTGAATTACCAAATAAGCAAAATTTCATTGTATTTTATGAGAATGAGCCTCATACATTTTGTAACAAGACGTGCTTGAATATATTTATCATAACGAATAGGAAAATAGTTCCATGTAACTGGTGCAAAGTAAAGAAGTATAACTTTGATATGATCAAGAAGGAATTAAAAACGGGACAAACCCTGATGATGTGCAGCTTAAATTGTTTGACGTTGTATCAGGTATAATATTTTATTACTTAAAATAATGCGATATATAACGACATGTGGAAGGTACAAAAATTTGTCATTTCTCTCGCAGGTTTCCATTAATGCAGTATCTGCAAAACGAATTAACTGTGATTTATGCAAGGAATATTCCTTAGCGCATTATCATCTCACAATGTCAGATGCAACGATACGTAATTTTTGTTCGTACAACTGCGTCATGAATTTCCAAGCACAATACACTAAGTCACCTATAACTATACCGTCGAGCGACGATCCCGTGCCTACAAGTGGGCCCACGAAGACCATGTTACCACAGAGAAGTACGAATCAGCCTGTACCCAGCGAGATGCAAAGTAAGAAGAAAACTATGCCGGTTATCTCCTCAGTAACGAGCCTAGCCTCGATAGGAAATGGACAAGCGAGTCCGACGTCGCAGCAAAGCAGTATGGTAATGCCTGCGAACGCGAATCAAACGAAGCAGATGGTCTACAAGCCACAAGTCATTACCAGACCGCCTAGTCCAGTAAAAGTGCACAACAAGATGACTCAGTGCAAGCCATTGGTGCATACGAAAGGAGTTTCTGTGCGTCCTCATCCTTGCACAAAGTGGACACAGACGACCGAAAAAGTTGAACAGGTGCTTGTACCTATACCAGTGCCAATTTACGTTCCGTTTCCAATGCATATGTACAGCATGCCTTTCCCAGTTCCAATGCCTTTTCCATTGCCCATACCCGTTCCGCTGTTTATACCCACTACGAGAAATAGCGCTAAGGGAATTATGAAAGATATCAAGAAAATACAAGAGAAGATACCGGCCGATCCGTACGAAGCCGAACTCCTTATGATGGCTGAGATGGTAGCTACCGAAAAGAAGACCAACGACAGCGATTCGGACTCAGTGGACGATAGGTAAGTGAATTAATGTTATTTACAAATCGCTTAAGTGACAAGTATCTTCAATGTTTAATAGCACCGTGTTGCCTTATTTCTGCACGATGTAAATAAATTTAAAATATAAGAAAATACATCAATACACAAATTAATATCAAGCTGATAACCCATTCGGCGATCAAAGATATAAAATTGGTTTGTTCTATGTTATACAAATCATGTTTATTTCTTAAAAATTTTATTTCTGTTTATCTCACGCACCAAAAGCATATATTTTTGTTTAGGGAAGGTGACACAGCTGATCAAGACAATTTACATAGTGATGGTTTCAGTCCGGAAGCGGTTGATACCAGTAACACGTTCGGAGATGACATGTTGCAAATGGCGTTAAAAATGGCCACGGAAGAATTAGACGAGCCGGCAGTCGATTTGGAAGCTGCCTTGACGCCGAACACGATTACAGCTACGCAGGCACCGTCGCAACCAGAGAACACTTTAGACAACGACGGTATGTGATATAAAAATGATTTAACGCGATGTATATGTATTAATAATTATGATATGATATTGAACTGTACATTGACGCGCACCGAGAACCACGCTCCAGTCGTGCCGATCTCAATATCAAACCTCGCATCTTTGACCATTTATTTTCCACTAAGTATGGTCACAACAACTACTGGACGAACAATACTTCATATCAATCTCACGCGTACGAGCTTACATCGGTGCCCCAAGAAGAGGAAGTGTTGCTAAGGGTTCCATATAATCGCAAAAGACTAAACTACTTGCAAAAAGTTAAATTACTTCTAAAAATCGAGTTTAATGTCGACTATTGTAATTTGAATTACTAACGATGAACCTTGTTATCGTATGTATTATCGTGGGAGTTAATTTAAATTTAACTTTGACCATTATTGATCGGACTGTTCTAGCGCTTTATTCATCTTTTTCATTTATTGTTATTCCAACGCTTCTAATGTGATCTCCAACGTTATATATTCTTTTGATGTATCATTATTTGACGTAAAATTTTTAAGCTCTGAGGAAGACCAAGTAAAATCGAAACGTAAACCTATTAAATAAATAAATAAATAAATTCATCCAACTTAAAAAAAAAACATCTATAATTTGCTCGAAAATTAGCCGTAACCATATACTTAGCTGTTGCTTTAGACGAGCGTTAATATCCTCTCTTTATTATTAATAAATATGTTAATCGTTCACTGTTAAAATTGAAATTATTCCTAACAATTCATACTTTTTTCAGTGCAATCGGACCGATTAATGGTTGCTTCTAGAGGAAGGAAACGTGTGATGCCATACAAGCCGCGCGCAACACCAACCAAACGAATGAGACGCGTCTCCGGTACAAATGACATGCCATTAATGCCACCACCGGAGTCACAGCCACCCCCGCAACCGCGCATTATGGAGCCGATGGAAAAACCTGACGCTAACATGGCGTTAAAATATACATTTGGCGTAAATGCGTGGAGGCAATGGGTTCGTAACTTCTTCGTTTATATATACAACAAACGAGACGGAAATATTTACCATGGATAAATTTTAAAAATATATAGGTAATAGGAAAGAATGCCGAATTAGAAAAACAAATTACACCAATGAGGAAGATAAAGTTGTTCAAGACAGATCTCTTACAACTTACCGCGGACGAGTTAAATTATTCTCTATGCCTCTTTGCGAAGGAAGTAAGAAAACCGAATGGTGCGGAGTATGCTCCCGATACAATATATTATCTTTGCCTAGGTAAATCAACTTTTGCATGATACGAGAGTCAGTGATACAATTATTCAGATATGTCCTTCATATATACCTTTGTTTTAGTCTCAAATATTTTTTCATGAATTTGTTTCAGGAATACAGCAGTATCTATTTGAGAATAACAGGATCGATAACATATTCACGGATTCGTATTACGAGAAATTTACAGATTGCCTAAATGAAGTAGCGAAAAAGTTCTCCGTGCTGTACAACGACGCCCGTAAGTATGTCTTATCACTCGTTGTGATTGCAAACTTTATTCTCACCATTTTGTCTTTTCAAACGTCATATCATCTGTTTTACAGAATACATCGTGACCAGGGTGGAGGAGGAACACTTATGGGAATGCAAACAATTAGGTGCCCATTCTCCGCATGTTCTGTTAAGCACGCTTATGTTCTTTAACACGAAACATTTCAATCTTGTGGTAAGTGAAAATCCATTGAAATCGACTAATAAAAGTCATGTAACTCGTTATCGTTAATATTTTATTTCAATACTAATAAATATGAGTGTTCATCAATGTCTTTTAGACGGTGGAGGAACATATGCAACTTTCCTTTTCTCACATTATGAAGCATTGGAAGCGCAATCCAGCAGCTCAACCCACGGCAGTAACAGGGAAAGTTCCTGGCTCAAGAAACGTCCTTCTGAGATTTTATCCGCCACAATCAGCTCTTGGTTAGTTATAATCTATTTATATGTTGTACTGTTGTACACCATACAAATTTTACACTGTCAACGCTAATTTATCGATATAAGATAATCTATTGTTTTTTTTAAGAAGCTAATTCAAGAAAAAAGAAAGTGTATGAACAACAAGAAAATGAGGAGAATCCATTGAGATGTCCTGTTAAGTTATACGAATTCTATTTGTCGAAATGGTATGTATACATGTTGTGACTAAAACAAACATTAAATTTAATTTATTACGTCAGTTTTGATACTGTGTGTACTACTATCTTGCACTTGAAATATTTCAGCCCGGAAAGCGTTAAGACGCGAAATGACGTCTTTTATCTACTGCCAGAACGCAGCTGCGTACCAGACAGTCCGGTATGGTACTCGACATCGCCCCTCGCAAAGGAACAGCTCATCAAAATGTTACATCGTATTAAAATGGTTAAAGAAATTAATGTAGCTTTACTAACGAGTTAATTTCACCTATTGCAATGATCTCTTATGTCGTTAAGCCAATAATTAAAGAAAAACAAAAGAAAGATTGATCTATTTTAACACTTTGACTGCCATCCGAAAATTTAAATTTGGCTTTGGGCTCGGCGATATTTCCCCCGACAATGCTGTATATTATAATTGTCGAAGAACTCTTGCGGATACGAATTACATTTTGTTCTTACAAAGTGTTAAAATAGTGCAGAAGAGTGGCTACTACAAAAATGAAACGATGCGATACAATATTGAATATAGAATTAGAGTTTTCCAGTTTCTATTGTATATTTTTCACTTCCCAATACAAAGAAACTTATTGATCATTAAAGTTTCTGAAATTGTGAAAAATAATACACATTATTTAAGCTTTATCTACGAAACACAAGTAACAACGCAGAAAATCCATTTATCTATTGTTGTTCTTATGTTTAATTCTATATATTTTTGTTAAAAAGAATTCAATAATTGTGAAATCCTAATCTTTTCTACAATGATTACAATTGTATGATAGCATGCTAATGGAAAGGATATCATTACAGAGATACAGAATTGTAACAAAAAAAAAACAAATATATTTATTTATTTCGTTCTATTTCCTTACATGGACTGAAAAATGCTGTACCCAATCAAAGGCTCATCCAGTTTTCTTTGGACGTGTGAACGCGCGCTTATGTTTTTGTCTACGTCTGGTAACTTCCATTTCATGTAATTTTGTATACACTTCATTAAATATTTCATTCTGATCCTCCTCGGGAATGGTTTCCCTAAATAAAAAGATGTAAATTAGAACGAATAATCTTAAAAACGTAAAGTATCAAAAGATGGTTTTGCTTTCTTACCGATATCTTTTCATCAGATCGTACTTCTCCCAGGGCTTTTCTGCAGCCTTGGCTTTTCTAATACGCTTTTCATCGAGTTCAAGCTCTGTTATGCCTTTCAGCTCTTGACGTTCCCATTTCTCTAACCATGGACGAGGATTGAGCTCCACTTTGATCTCATTTACAGGTATCGGTGCACCGTCCGGCAAATATTCCGGTTCCATGTCGAAAGGGAAGGTACTGTATTCTGCCGGTGCATCTCGCAGGTATCTTAGATGTGGATCCAATCTTTTCTCAAGCCTAAATTATTTGTCGCAATTAGTACCATCGATACAAGAGAAACAATTCAAGACAATTTATGTAAAACAAAAACTATATTTACTTGAGACACTCTATCTTCTGTATCGCAGGATCGTATAGCTCGTAAAGCACTTCGATTCCTTGATGATCAACCACGTTTCTCAGCAGGCACGTGGCTCTCAATCCCCATCCTGCTCTCTCGATGCATATGCCAACAAACTTGTTGACCTTTCCAGGAGCGTGTGGCTCAGAATAAGTCACAGCTAATATGGAACCAACATAGAATTCGGGTATCGCTATATGCGTGCGCCTTGCTAGCATATCCATGCGCTCCAGCTTTTCTCGGAGTGTGTTACGATACTTGGGGTCAGGGTCCGGTAGAAATTCTGGGTAAATGAATCGATATCTGTCTGGGATCGTTTTCTTCTGCTCAACGTTTCGTTCTGGTATCTTTTTGTTATTTTGCGCTTCTTGTATCGAATCTTGAGCGGCCGTGGAGGAATTTCCCCTAACTGCATGACCTGAAAAACAGACTTATGTAGTCTCGATAATTAAAAATTTTACATATATTTTAAGGAGACAATATCAAAATCTGCTCCGATATGAACAACCAGATAAAAGTGATGTTAATCTAATATAACCTACGTAGTACTTTCGCCGTTCGCAGACCGCTATAACCGCGAGAGAATATCCTCGAAATTACAACCATTGCTTTAATTTTCTATTATTATTCTTATTGAATTCATTTAAACATCAAACATGTATAAAACTTTTTTCGTGTAGAGAATTCAACTCGTAATCTCGTAAGCAAAGGGTGAAACCCGGTAACAACACAGTATAACCTGTATAACCAATATGTTCAATTGTTCACTCAACCCTTTTTTATGGTTTGCGCCGATCCGTACTGCGCATCGACATTGGGTGCGTTCAGCAAACACAACTGTTGAGTGTCGTCTTATCAACACTCTGCGTTGATTGGTTGGTTCTAAAAGTAAGAGCCAATCATGTTCGACTGCTACTCAGCGGTTTGGTCTGCTGAACGCGGCCATATCTTGACGGGGACCAATCAGAGGATTTTTACATTAATATCATGACCACACGGAGATAATTTTTTGTTATATTTTACCATTAAATTCACTACAAACTTAGGACAATTTGGCAACCAAGGAATTTTTTGAAATATGCAAAAGACATTTTATAAAAGAGAAAATTATCTCTGTGTATCATATTTTTCTGTCATGTTTTATTTTTAAAACGGAATTGCTCTGATTGGCTAATCTCCAGGTGGAGGCTCTCAAGATGAGATATTAGCCAATCAAAGGAATTCCGTTTTAATTCCGTTCCGCCATTTCTTTCTCCATGGGGATGCACCCTTAAACCTTAAGCCCCTTGCACAATAGGCGACAGCGATTAGGGTGACTGGCGCTCAGCGCTCACTGAGCTGCTTTTTCCGCTCTTCTGGCTGCGCGCTGCGCCGCTGCAGTACGGAGATAAGCTAGGCTAGAATTAGTGGTTATGTTTTCCGAGCGTCTGAAAAATGCTAGAAAGCGCAGAAAGATAAAAGTGATCCAAGATTGAATGCGAACGTGAGTTTCTTTGTTTTATCTCTGTAATTACGACATACATTGAAAATACCGTAACATGTGTAGTATAAATAACCGATAATAACTATTGCATACACAGAATAACGTAATTGCGAGTACACGTCTGTTGGGGAGATCCGCGGGAGTCCTTTGAAGTCACACGACGACACGATGAAGAGATCGCACTCGCGAAGGGACGAGGAGGAGAGCGATGAACATTATCGCAAGCGCAGGGACGACAAACGTGGCGACGATCATAAGGAATCCAGGCATAACGGCGATCACCGGAGTTCCAAGCACCACGATGATCACAGGAGTTCCAGGCGCAACGACGAGCGCAGAAGTTCCAGGCGTGACGACGATCACCGGAGTTCTAGACGTAACGACGAGCACAGGAATTCCAGGCGCGATGACGATCACCGGAGCGCCCGACGCGACGATCACAGAGATCGTAGGTACAACGAGGATCGCGAAGATCCCAGGGACAGCGACGTCGAAGCGAATGGGAAACGGAAAGCCTCGCCATCGCGGGAGAAGATTGGCAACAGGTACTACGGGGAACCGGATAAACCGCGAGAGAACCCGGAGGACGCCAAGCAGAAGCGAACGGTCGATCTTCTGACCTCGAGGACCGGAGGCGCGTACATTCCGCCTGCCAAATTGCGAATGCTCCAAGCGGAGATCACCGACAAATCGGGAGCCGCTTACCAGCGTATCGCTTGGGAAGCATTGAAGAAGTCGATTCACGGATACATCAATAAAGTTAACACCAGCAACATCGGGATCATAACGCGGGAGCTGCTGCACGAGAATATCGTTCGCGGTAGAGGTTTGTTGGCGCGGTCCATTATTCAGGCGCAAGCCGCCTCTCCGACGTTCACTCCGGTTTACGCCGCACTGACATCCGTAATCAATTCCAAGTTCCCGAATATAGGCGAGTTGGTGCTGCAGCGACTCGTTCTGCAATTTAAACGTGGATTTAAAAGGAACGATAAACCTTTGTGCATATCTTCGGGAACTTTTATAGCGCATTTAGTTAACCAACGCGTGGCCTACGAGATTATCGCCCTGGAAATTTTGACTCTACTGCTGGAAACGCCGACGGACGATTCCGTCGAGGTAGCCATAGCGTTTCTAAAAGAATGCGGCATGAAGCTGACGGAGGTGTCGCGAAGAGGCATCGAGGCCATCTTCGAGATGCTGAGGAATATCCTGCACGAAGGACAGTTGGACAAGCGAGTCCAGTACATGATAGAAGTTATGTTCCAGATCAGGAAGGATGGATTTAAGGATCACGAGGCTGTGCCCGAGGAGTTGGATCTCGTGGAGGAAGACAATCAAATCACGCATTTAATAAGATTGGACGACAAGCTGGATGCACAGGATATATTAAACGTGTTCAAGTTTGACCCGGACTATCTTGCCTCTGAAGAGAAGTACAAGCAGTTGTGCAAAGAGATTCTCGGCTCGGACGTCAGCGAATCGGAAGGCGACGACGAGGAGGGTGAAGAGGAAAGCTCGGACAACGATAGCGGCGCGGAACAGGCCGAGGGAAAGGAAGGGCTGATACTCGACAACACGGAAACAAATCTGACCGCGCTTCGACGAACTATATACCTGACGATACACTCTTCGCTTGATTTCGAAGAGTGCGCGCATAAATTGATGAAAATGCAACTGAAACCTGGACAGGAGATCGAGTTGTGCCACATGTTTTTGGACTGTTGCGCGGAGATGCGGACGTACGAGAAGTTCTTCGGCCTCCTGGCCGGTCGGTTTTGCGCAATAAACAAAATGTATGTCACGCCCTTCGAGCAAATCTTTAAGGATTCGTACAGCACGATACACCGCCTCGACACCAACAAGCTGCGAAATGTATCGAAATTTTTCGCTCACTTACTGTTCACGGACTCCATATCGTGGAGCGTACTTTCGTGCATAAAGTTGAACGAAGAAGACACCACGAGTTCGAACAGGATTTTTATCAAAATTTTGTTTCAGGAGCTCTCTGAATATATGGGTCTTGCAAAGCTAAATGAACGAGTTAAAGATGTGACGTTGCAATTTGCGTTCGAAGGACTGTTTCCCAGGGACGATCCGAAGAACACCCGTTTCGCAATAAATTTCTTTACGTCGATCGGTTTGGGTGGTTTGACGGACGACCTGAGAGAACATTTGAAGTCCCATCCAAAGCCGGTTGCTGTGCCCGCATTACCTGCCAAGGAAGAAGAACCCTCGAGCTCCGACAACGAGTCTACCAGCTCGTCATCCAGCTCAAGCTCGTCTAGTTCGTCGTCAACCGATTCTTCATCGTCTTCGTCATCGGAGGATGAAGATCTGGCAAAGAAGAAGAAGAAGAAGAAGAATGTGCAGCATAAACGAAAAGAAAAGAAATCTAACTCGAAGAAGGAAAATCAGAAGGAAGAGAAAGCGCAAAGTAAGAAGAAGAAAAGCAAGACAAGGGATAAATAAAACAGATAGAAATTAAGTAGAATAAATATAATAAATCCTTTTTTTATATAAGTTAATTGTATGATAAATATCTATATATATATATTCTGTACACACACACACAAATTATATTCTACGACTTACGTTTTACAAATTCTTTAGACTTCCAAGTAAGCGAGAATAATAAATCAAGATACAATATTTATTCTACTTGTATACTTTTTATTATTCGATAAAGATTACATTTAAGATTAGCTCTGGTTTTTTTAAATTAATAATTTAATTACGTAGGAAAGCTACTTCTATCGTTCTCATCATTTTATTATGTTCTGTGATGTTTTAATATTTCTAGAAAAACGGGGCGAGAAGCGCCTGTGCATTTCCAAATAATTTTCTCGGAATTTAGCTAACGATCTTTATCCATTTTCGCAACGCGCTAAGGACGGCGAACGGAGCTGGCTGCTCCCCGGAAAATGGGGGAGAGCGCGTCATCGTCAAAGTCGACACCGGAGCCTCGTGCCGTCCCTGACAATGAACACAAGATGGCAACGATACCAAGAGCGCGCACGCCGTCGGCCGCGCCTCCACGTCGTCGCTCGCGGATGCGTGTGCGGCATTGCCCACCACGCGCCGTGGCTGCGAGTGTGTGTGTGTGCGTAACGCGCGGGGAGGTACGCAAGCTATTTTGACGGGAAGGTCACATGACTAGACGGCTGTCGGCGTCCGATTCACACAGACGCGTGCCGCCGACCGCGCGTCGTAACCGAGCTATGCGCGTTGCGGCCTACGGCCTACGTCGGATCGCGCTCGCGCGCGCGCGCGCGCGTGTGTGGATTGGTACACACACGTGTATGACGCGCACACACCTGCTTTTCTCTGACGGGCGTCGCGCGACGCGGCGAGGGGGCCGCAGGGGTCTGGCCATCAGGACCGTGGAACGGAGACGGAGAGAAATTCGTAATGGGTGATAAAGTTAAAAATTGTTCTCTCATCTGGTCTCCGCATTTTCTTATTGTTTATTATATTTTTAGATGTCGGTATGTGTCACGGCTTTGATGAAATCCTCTTTGGCGCGTCCTGGAAGTCCTAGATTAGATGAAATCCTTATCTGCTTTCTATCACGCTACATCCTCATCCTGGACCAAGCTGAGACAATAGTCCGCGTGCGGAGCGATACCGACATCCCGAGTGCTACACAAACAGGCTTCTTCCTTCTATCCTAAATACCAGATCCACGTACGCGATCCATATGTGTCGTAGGCGTTGTAGCTGTAGGAACAAAGCATGAGGCGATAGAAAAACGCCTGTGGGGGGACCAAGATCGCAAGGAGCACCGGTATATAATTCATGATAATTAGTCTAAAATAATACGAGCGTTTCGCGTGGATCATTCACGGCGATGTAGTAACATCAGTCTGTTGTTTTCTTACTCCGGCACTGTTCGCGACAGGCGCGGTGGTGCGCAGTAGGTGGCCGGTTGTCGCGAGAAGGGGGAAGAAAAGGGAGGAGTGGCCGACGTCGTCTTCGTCGTCTTCGTCGCCGCCGTGGCGGCGGCGGCGGCCGCGATGCTCGTAGAGGGGAACGAGACAGGCATGCCGAGTTTACGGTGATTCTTTACCACCGAGCGGACGCGTGCGCGCGGCCGAGCGGAGCTCGCGGCACGCACACCAAGAGGCGTGCGTGCAGAAACGCGCGCGTGCACGTACCGGGTGCCTCTGAGAAGTTAAACGTAGGATTCCAACAGGAAGACCGCGATCGAGGATTCAAAAGGATCGAGGGAAACCTCGAAAGAGCTACGTTCTTGCGTAAAGCGATCGGAGACCAGCTCTAACGTTGGTCCGTCAGGTAGACGACGAATCCTTATCCTCTTCCGATGTCAAAACTATCTCAAATAAAACTGGAGCGATATTTAACATTGGAAAGAAATGGAAAGAAACTTAAAGAGGTATCGTGTTGCAGGCGAGCGTCAGTAAAGTAAGAAGCAAGTCCGCAAGCTACTTTCTCGCCACGCGGTATATGAAGCCGGTTGAACGCTGCACGTGTACGTGCGAAAAGTGTGCCCGTACGTGCGCACGCACACAGCCAGAAAGCGAGAGTGTGCGCGTGTATTCTGCATGAGAGGAGACAGTCTCTCAAGGGCTCCGCCGTCCGCCGTCTCCGGCTCTCGTCTCGTGTTTACGCGGTCGCGCGCGCATGTGTACAGCACAGCCGCGGACATCGCCGAGGGAGTGAGAAAGATAGAGAGAGAAGGAGAAAGAGCAAAAAAGCGCGGAGAAGGGCCCCTCCGCTCGCGCGTCAGGGCAAAAAGACTTCGCGGAGCGGGAAGGCGGGAACGGGATAGAAAGAGAGGAACGAGAGACGGAACATCCACACACGGTCGTCGTCCACGAAAGCGCGGCGAGCGAGGAGGAGCGTGCGTGAAAAGCGTATACGCATATATCGCGGAGGCCTGCCCGCCGTTGTCTCGTTAGCGTCTGTGCATGAGGAGAAACAGAGAGAAAGAAACAGAGAGTAGGAGAGACAGAGAAATATTCGCGTCGCAGCTCGTGCGTGCGTGCACTCCCATGCGGCGGATGGTCCGTCGGTTTCCACGTCGTCGCCCGTGAACGGAATCGTCGTCATCGGCTCCTCTCGCGGCGCGGTAAGAAATATGCGTGCTCCCGCTGCGAGTGTCGGCTACCCGTCGTCGTCTCGTCCACGATCATACGGATCGCACGGTGCGTGCTCCGCCACCGCTACCGCCGCCACCGCCACCGCCACCGCCGTCGCCGTCGCCGCCGCCGTCGTCGCCGTCGTCGCGATCGATACGCCATTGCGTCGCGACGTGCCGACGGGTAAATCGCTCGTCTGACGATGCCAGTCGTGCTGGTGGTCGCGCTCCAGTGATGCGATAATATTTCGCCGGACGTCGGACGTATCATCGCCGACATCCTCGTTGTTGTTGGCCGCGCGCGCGGTGGCGCGGCGTCCCGATAGCGATCGTCGGCGACGCCAGTAGCGACAGCGACAGCGACGTCGAGGAGGTGGTGGAGGAAGAGGAAGGAGGTGGGGAATCGGGGGAATGTCGTCGACGGGACGGCCGACGCTGATAACGTGCACCATCCGCGGCATCAGCAGTGCGCCGTGCCGTGGTGATGTGTGACGGACAGAGAGATGATAAATAGAAGCGCGCGCGCGTGTGTCTGCCTGCGCGAGTACAGTGAGCAACGTGCGAGCGACGATAAATAGACAGCAGACATATACATTATATATAGTGCACATATAGTGTGTGTATGTGTATATAAAGCATGTGCCATTTCGTTGTCCGTAGATTGCGTTCGATAAGACTGTGAGACTTGGCCCCCCGCGCCCCGCTATGGATCGTTGGCCCGCCGTATCCGTGACCGTGCTGCTTTCGTCGCGCATCGAATTCGCGGCTGCGAGAACGTCGCGTTGAAAACCGCCGTCGCCGCCGTAGGAGGAAGAGGAGGAGGAGGAGCTGGTGGTGGTGGTGGAGAAGAAGAAGAAGACGACAAACGACGAGACGACGACGAAGTGGAGGAGGAAGAGGGCAGTAGGAGAGAACGAGAGGGGAGTTCGCGACAGAAACGGAGGGAACTCGCGAGGAGGAGGCTCTCTCGTTTGGAGGACGGCGCTCGCTGCGTACGATCTCCGCGTTAACGCGCTTTTCTGCCCGCGAAAGCGCGCGCGAGGGAGAGAAGCAGAAAGAGAGTGAGAGGACCGCGGACAAAGGGGACGAGAGAGACGGACACCGAGAGCGGCTAGCGGCTTTATCATGTTGTACGTGGAAGTGGTGGCATCGCGGGATCGCGGGTCGCGGCGGTAGTCGCATCGTTGTCTTCGTCGGCGACGCGTAATGCTGCCGCGGCGGGAGGGGCGGACATAGGGAGGAAGGAAGGACGCGCGAACGGGTTATACGCGTGTAACTCGGCCTCTCGTGCCGGACGAGAGCGGAGTGAGCGAGAGTGCGTGCGTGCGAGCGAGCGAGAAGAAGAGAGAGAGAGAAAAGATAGAAAGAGAACGACCGAGGAGGGGGCCTCGTAGCGCGGGTTAGAATACCCCGTTCGGCACGGAGAGGATGGACCCGTGTCTGTCTCGCGGCGCGACACGTCGATCCGCGAGCGAGCGCGAGGAACGTGGTGGAGGCCACGCTACGACGACGACGACGGCGACGCGCTGGGACCGAGTAACATGGAAGTGGAATCGCGAGGAAGCCGAGTTGTTGTCGCGCCAGTTGTCGTGCTAGTGCCCGGTCCTGCTGCCTTGACATCCGCGACATAAATAAATTTTGCCGGATGGTCCAAGTGTAATACGGAATATATTGTGTACATCAACACTACGTAAATACAAAGCGATAATCGAATGTGCTGAGAGAGATCCGTCACCGTGCAGCGTGTGTGTCGGAGCATACGGTTGGAGTGGCGGCGGTGATATCGTTGCCCGCGCTCTCGTGCTCCGTTTCTCTTCCTCTGGGGGGAACCACGCTTCTCGGATACGCGGGCACAATGGAGACGCTATTGCCCGGCAGTACCGCCGCCGGCCAGTCGTACAGTCCGCAGTTGAAGACCGTCCTCAAGACCTATCAGCTGTCGGCCGTCAAGAGCCTGCAGGGTCCCAGCTCGGCCCTGCTGGGCATGGACTGTAAGGCCCTGCTGCACGAGCAACAGTCGGCGACCTCGTGTTTCTCGCCGCCCGCTGTCAGTCGTCAGGCGGCGGCCAACTGCGGCCTGGAGTCACCCGTGGAGTCGCAACCGCCCAAGAGCTTAGTCGAGAAGGAGGTTCGCGAGACGTTGGCGGCGGCGCGCACGTTGACGCCCGTCCCGAAGGCGCCCCGCTCGTTGGAGGACTCGGACGAGGACCGTCCCGCGGCGGCGGCGGCTGCGGCGGCCGACCGTCCGAAGATCGGCTGCGAGAAGCGCGAGCTCGAGTTTCAGATACCGATACTCACGGCGCCGGATCAGAGCTGCTCCGAGAGGTGCGAGACGATCCTCGAGGGCGAGAGGATCTCGTGCTTCGTGGTGGGCGGCGAGAGGAGATTGTGCCTGCCGCAGATACTGAACACGGTGCTGCAGGACTTCTCCCTGCAGCAGATCAATCAGGTGTGCGACGAGCTCCAGATCTATTGTTCGCGCTGCACCCGGGATCAGCTCGAGGAGCTCAAGCACTCGGGCATCCTGCCGCGCAACGCCCCGTCCTGCGGTCTCATCACCCAAACCGACGCCGAGAGGCTCGTCAGTGCTCTGCTGTTACGGACAGAGTCCTGCGATCCCACCCAGATCGGCCCGGCGGCGCCGGACTGTCTCGATAAGAAAACGTGTAAGAACGAGGAAGAGGAGGAGACGATTGTTAAGTTCAAAGTGTATCACGAATGTTTCGGCAAGTGCAAGGGCATTTTCGATCCGAAGCTATTCGAGACGGACGACTCTGTGTGCATCGAGTGTCTGGAGTGTGGCTATCAGTTTTCTCCCCAACGCTTCGTGAGACACGCTCACAGATCTCTGGAGAACCGCACCTGCCACTGGGGTTTTGATTCCGCCAACTGGCGGTCGTATCTGTTGCTCTCCCGCGATCAACAACACTACAACAAATCGCTCAGCCTTTTTCGGGAGCTGAAGGAGAGGCATCTTGTGTTGAACTCCAAGCGAAAGCTAGAGGTATTATCGCTCAATGTGTTTTTCTCTTTAAAAATAAGATGATAATTTTGATGTTTCAAATGCGTGTATGTTTAAAGCAGTGAACACAAAATTAAACGTCGCTTAATATATCTGGAGAGTATATATGGACCCAAATATCTATTTTAGCTGCGACATGAGCACGAGAGATTGATTAAGCGCACAAAGAAGGACATGGGGAAGGACGACTGTGCTGGAATCTACAATGGCAACGGTTTGGCGATGTACCATCCTGTATCCCAAATCGCCACTGATTCCTACTTGCAGATGCAATGGGCGGTTTTCGAGCTCGCTGCCAGAGGCGCAGCTTTTCAACCTTGGAATGCTACGGGCAATTGCAAGCACAGGGACAAGTAAGTATGGCGATCGCATCGCCACGATTCTAGCTACATAGCGAGAATTTTTCGATTATTTGGACTCTCGCTTTAGAAGCACATATATACACGTATACATCCTCGCGTATTCCTAACAGCCGCACACTCATATAGTAAAACCTGTTAGCGCGGAGAGGTAAACAATTTTAACGATTCTGGGAATAATCTGATATATTGTAATTAAATCATAAGGACCCCCAAAAGTTCAATAATTGAGAAGTCAGGGCAGTAAGAGTCAGACGCTGATCCTGGGGCGTAAATTCAATAGAATTTGCATGAATCATGCATATACCACTGTACTGAGTAAATTATAGCTTGCGCCTACGAACATTGTTGACATTTATGTTGACAAATTGACAAATTGTATCCTCATTATTGGTACACGTAATATTGTGACGTCGCTATAATTCTGCCCGACAATCGACGAAAGTTTCTCGGAGAACGCGTACAGAAATTCAAGTCACTCGAGTATACGTTGCTTGCGATTATCGTGTGCTTATTTTCACGCGCGGGAATAGCCGTCGTTCGCGAAATCTCATGTCCGTAGCTCGCGGCATAGCGATCCTTCCGACCCGCGACTCCTTCGACCATTCGCGCACAGGAAGTGAGAACGCTCTAATTATTGCAACGGCTGAAGATGGCTGAAAACTGAGCCAAAACGTATCGAACACTGTTTGGAATGTGAAGAGAAATAATAAATTCTATTGAATTTACGCCCCAGGATCAGCGTCTGACTCTTACTGCCCTGACTTCTCAAATATTGTAATTAATTCTAAATTTTTTTTTACATTGGTTGTTTCGTTAATGCACCTACATATGTTTTATCCGTTTATCGCATATATCAAATTCTTAGATCTTCGTAGCTCGGTCAACAGACTACACTGACAATCAGCTGAGTGAACAATCATCGATATCGTTGCTCGGAGGGTTTTCAAAACGTTTTAGAAAGATTCCGAAAGTCAGGTCAGATTCTACGAAAAACAGAATCCGCGCAACCGATTCCGGGGAATGAGAATTCGATCGGCGAATGGAAACGACGTGAATAATCGCGCTCTAATTTTATAAAATAAACGCTACATTGACAGATCAGACAAAGAACTTCACTCTCTCGTTCGGAGTCCGACATCGCATTCTATTTCACGTGAAATAAGTGTGGCGATTATATCGTCAGATACTTAACCGCCGAAACAGCGCCGACCATAATTAAAATAAAATCTACTTTTGTTAACAGTTCATCGTTGGTGCCTGCTTATCTCAGTCGAGGTCCGCCCGTACTGCAGCATCCCGAGCGAGTCATCCCGCTTTCGGAGTGTGAGCGTTTCGAGCCGCATTTCCAACCTAATGTGGCGTTGGCGCCTATACCGGCACCCGCACAAATAAGTCAGATACCGCCACCCTCGTCTGTTCATCAGCAACGACGGCATCATCACGAACATCGTCGTCACAGTCATCGCTCTTCGAGTCCCACGTGTGAAAAACAGGAGCTGTTGTCGTCCGCCAGTGTTAAGATAGAGAAAACGTCGCCGAGTCAAGCGCCGGCTATTGGTTCTTATCCTCTGTACTATATGTCTGATGAAAATAAGAAGGAGGCGGCGCTGCCAAAGGACAGAAAGGAGAAGGAAGGCGAGGAGGAGGAGAGCAGCGCGGCGGTGACATCGTCTACTGTAAGCGTGGAACCTACACCGCTGGCGGCTTCCTCCGAAGTCGGCACCTCCTCGCCATCGGAAAGCGATTCCGACATGGATGGTACCGTAGCGGCGGATCTCGAGGAACGTTTGAAGGCACTGGACGTACCGCAGGACGTGATAGAGCTGGCGCATCGCGTGGCGTTGCAGAACGCGCAGCTGCGACATCATCGGCGATCGAATGCTCGTGAAATCTCGAAGCTACGCAGTCAACTGCACATGCAGAAATTACAGCAGCAGCAGCAGCAACAGGAATCCACTGCCGTCGTCGTCGACGATGAAAGTCAAGACAAGAAGGAGGATGCGACAGGGACGATGGCGACGGCGCCGCGTTCCAGCGCGGCCGACAGCACCGAGGGCGGCAACGAGGAGACTGACGCTGCTGCGAGTTTACCATCGAACAATAAAGAGTCTAAGCCCGCCAGCGTAGCGACCAATAACGAGTCGGATCAGTGATTAGGATAACGCGGAAGTTATTTAACACACATACACCCACAACTGCTCAGCGATTACCGCGACAACGCTCATCCGTTGGCCGAATAAGCATGCACTGAGTTTAGTTACGTTAGGTACATATATATATATACATATATATTTACGATTCTAAACTAAACAATAAACTGTCTAGGTTTATGTGATACGCGACAAGCCTTTAAACGTTATCGCAAATAGTTCGGAGTTTTTACTAGGTAAGTAAAACACGTGCTGTCCAACTCAAAACATCGGGCTGATGGAGTCCTCGCGCTTCATACTCATATCTCGTGAAATTCGAACCGAGCGACCGACCAACCACTGTCAGCGACGATAGCTTGCCTTCCATGTCTGTCGATAGCTACGCGCGATACGTCCACTTCCTGTTTGCATTTTAGCGTTCCGCGGATAACGAAAAAAAAAAAAAAATGATACACGTCCTTTTCCGAAATGAATTTCGACTTGTCGAGTTTATGGTGCCGCGAAGACAAACGTGTTGCTCCGTTGACATTTCGTCTCCCAACCATGGGTAATGTTAACGGATTTGATGAAAGAGTGATACTCCCGGTGGGAGATGTGGCAAACCGATACCACGAGTTGGACAGCGACGTCAGGTATACTTGTATCGGTCGATTTTTTTATTAAAATCGAATGTAGATATTGTATTATATCGAAACAGGGGAGGTAGATTTAATGGATTACACCGCGCCAATAAAACGATTACATTTAAAGGGTATTATATAATGAGACATTTCGTATATATTAAATATATACGAAGTGTAAAGAAAGATTTTTACTATATAATTCTGATTCTTGAACATGTGAGTGATAAGAAAGAGTGAGGAGAGAAAGAATGTGCGTGTATGCGTGCGAGAGATTTCTAGTGAGAATGAATTTAGATTGCTTCCTATTCACATCTTGGTAGTCATGATCGCATAATGTAAATACATTGTGGCATCATAGGTGTATGTTTATAACTAATTACAGTATCATGACGAAATAATGTTAAAGTACAAAAAACCTAGGTGCTATATTGTTATTCTAGGTATGCTGTAAGCATAAACCTGGGTGTGTTCCAGCAGCTCGTACTACATTGTAATTGCCCAGAACGTTATATACACGTTCCAAACCCGACTCGCTAACGACTAAAAATCTTGTGATTAACGCGTATAAGTAGGATCTGCTTTTTTATTCGACGAAAAAGCTCGGTCCAAGCCTAATCACGTCAATAAGAAAGTGAGGAGGGAAAAAGAAATTTGCGTTTTTTTTTAAATTATTTATTTGGTACCTACAGTAGGACCATAACTCGAATCATCGTTGATAATAACGTATTTTCGATTGTTTCTTGAATTTTCAAGTATTTACGTGATTATCGAATCGTTTAATTTATTAATGGCATAAGAAAAGTGATTTATACACAATAAAGGCCATTGCACGTAACAAAGTTTTAGTCATAATCGTAAGGCCACAAGAAAATAGACCACGCACACTCGATTATTCTTCGAGCTTAAGGAGAATAATCGACTGTGCGTGGTCTATTTTTTTACGGCCTTACGATTATGATTAAAACTTTGTTACGTGCAATGGCCTTAAGTCACTATATACGAATCGTCGACGATCGTATAGTCATGTTGTTTTTTTTTCTCTTTTTTCAAAAATGTTCTAAATATTTTCTTAAAAATATATATGCTTTTTTTTCGGGATCGCGGCTAAAAGCGTAACGGGAATTCTATTGATCGAATCGTACGTGTAGACACGTACTGTATATAATTTCTGTTGAATACAATGTTTTGTTATTAATATATGATATTTTTACGAAGATTCGCAGCTGGAGAACCCACATCTTTAATATATATATTTATTTTGTACATATATTATTGTTGATACATATCATTTTAGTTGTATTTAATATATATATATATATATGAAAAATGGTCCTACTGTGAAAGAGAGAACGGGAGATGGGCAGAAAATGTTGGCCGTGCTGAGAGTAGCGTTTCCAGTTTTTGTCAACATCGAAAAATTACCTAAAGAGAGAAATATCTTAAAGCGGAGAGAGGAAGACGTTATCAGCTCTGGCCGCGATTTCTGTGTGTCTCTCGAGTTTTTAGCAGAGACCGAGTGTTAAATTATGTTGGACATAATTTGTCTGTATGTGGATTGATTTTTTTTTTTTTTATTTCTATACAGATGTTTTTCCTGCATGAGAATACTCCATATATATATACGAAAATGTCCGTGTATCAAATTTATATTATACGCCACAATATAAAGGGAGAAATAGATTTTTTTAATATATTCATACGAAGTATATATAATTGAAGCATGAACAAACAAGCAAGATATTATATGCACGTGTAAAAGAGGATGTAGATACAGAAAAGAAAATACATATATACGAGATATTATATACGCAAGAGGGTAAGTTTTATTACGGACTCTGTTGTCATTTATTGCACATACAATCGAGAAATGCGTGATAGAGATGTTTGCCTTTTTATCCCTCATTATTTTTTTTTCTCTCTCTACCATATTACGCAATACTTTTATTTTGTCGTCCGAATATTTTGACGGAGTTCCCAGTGACACGATATAATAATCTTCGATTTAAATTATAGACTTATCACTCGAATATATTTGTAAAAGTGGGTGTACACGAGCGAGCGATTGGCGAAGATGAACTTTGTGGAAATTTCAAAGATGTTCATCATACATAATGCAAACGGAACGGTTTGTTAACGTTGGTTTCGCGTTCGGACTGATTAAAGTAAGACGGTACGTCAAAGGAGGTGCCAAAGAGAAATTTTAAAATCCTCACTCTTTCGTTTGTTATTCGTTTTCGCTCGGCCTGTACCCACCTTAATGGTGTAATCTTGATTTTATACTGACTGAAATTTTCTTTTCGAGATACAATTGCTTTTTACGCGTGCCCAAGTGCAGGATACGAGAAACTGACACGGGGATGGTATGACGGGCACGCACGTCCGTTTATACACGTCCCCGCGGTCAGCGATATGATAGCTGTACGACAACGCAAACCGTACACACTTGCATTATATTTCCATTGTGTAGCAAAACATGCTGATTAAATACATGATTGCGTATCGAAAACATATACACGCGTATATACATATGCCGAGACTGCTTCGGAGATCTCTTATCGTACATAACATTTGTCTTTTCTCTTTATCTCTTTTCTCTTGTTTTTAAATATAGCTACGGCAGTGCCAGTTTAATTCTTCATCAGGAAATTAAGAAAAAAAAAAGGAAAAATTTTGGGGACTAGAAGCAGCGAGAAATTGATCATGCGTTTCCATATGCTCATAGGAAAGAGAGAACGAGAAAAAGAAATGAACTCACCGCGGGTACTCGATTCTGGATGATGTGATTTGGAGTAAATGTTAGATTTTCAAAGCAATCTGTTAATATAAAGCTGACGATGTATGAGGTAATCGCGACGATGTAGAATATAGAATACATTTATTATATATACATATATATATATAAATATATGCCCTATGTAACATTCGGTCAATATACATAAGATACGTTACATTGTGTGTAATGTTACAGTAAGATAAGCATCCCACCTAAAGGTATAAAAGAATGTAATAGTCTATGTTTTTCATACACACGTACATACAATACACACACTCAGTTTATCGTAGAGTTTACCTAGGACGTAAAGAGTAAAAAGATAATTCGTAATACCTAAATAATCATATAATACAGATCGGTTTCGAATATATACGTTTGAAGTCTGCGTATATAATGAAAAGAAGGGAAAGGGGCGAATTTCGGTTTCGGCGAATCGTGTAAACTGCCATGACTTAAAAAAATGTATTTCACTTTCGCGGGGACGATGTATTTTCATTTTCGTGACGGAAATATATACTGACAAATTACAGAAAAGAGAAATGGAGAGTACATGCGTACGATGCCCGATTCCAGGAGAGGGGAAGAAAGGGGATTGTATATTAATTGGATCACGTTACGCGGGCGATATTCGACATGCGTCTTGAATATGTAATATATAATTATGACGCGCAAAAACGCACGATATGTCGAAACATTGCTGATACCCGTTCGACCAGCGAGCTCCCGGGAGCAGACGTCGGAAGTGATTTTTATCGTACGCTTCGCTAATATTATCTCTGTTGTTATTATATGTTTAGTCTGACTTTCGAAACACGGTTTGTAAAGTGCTAGCTGATACGACCTACCACGTGTGCGTGCGTGTGTGTACCTCCCTCGTATCTATATATCTCGCTTTCGCGATACATAGTTTGCCGATTAGAAAAATCTCATCTCTCCCCGGCACATTCGTCGAAATCGCGCGGATTTTCGTCCAATCCATCGGCGCCGATGACGCGCGTGTTATCGGCGATATCATTATCGTCGAATGTACGGCGCGCGCGTACACGTGCCCGACGTTATATATGTACATGTACCTTGTCGTTCTATTTTTGACTTATTACGAAAACAAGAGAATCGTAAAGGCGAGATCGCGCGCCCGTTCGATACCCAGAGAGACGTGTGTGTGTGTGTGTGTGTGCACGCACACGCGTACGCGCACGCCGAGGAGGAAAATAAGCTATTTGAATAGACGATAAGGCGTATATGAGCGTTTGTGCGATAACAAAATAAACAGGCTGATGGCGGAATATCGTTGTGCGGCGCGAAGGCGAGGACTTTGCCCCGCGACGCGCCGCCGTATCTAAACTGCAACTTAGCGGAAATTCCAATAGCGACAAATAGTGACCTATAATCGGCGATATAATCTGTAAACGCGACAACACACGAAATCTCTGCATTCTATGCGTTCTGCTCGAAAAGCCAATCCCGTATATGCGCGCAATGGTTACAGCCATCCCAGACTTCGTAAATGTCCGCGAGAACGTCTTCTCGAGCGTGCGAGATTTTTTCAAGATGTCATTTAGATATTCTCTTGAATGTCCTCGATCTTTGAGACGATCGTTCAAACATTCTCTGGGCGTCTTAATTTTTTAAGGCGCCGTTTAAACATCCTTTTAGATGTTCTAAATTTTTTAGATATCGTTTAGCCGTTTTTCGGGCGTTTTAAAAATTTTTCAACGCCTTTTAGATACCTTTTAAATATTCTTTAGAAAAACGTCCTAAATTTTGGAGGCGTTGTTTAGACACTTTGTAGACATTCTAAATTTTTAAAGTTATTTAATCACCTTTTTACGACGTCGTCTAGACAATTTTTTCGTCGTTTGGGTACGAGACGCTGTTGTCTGATATTGTTATCGTAAATTTATTTAACGGTGGAAATAGCGGAAAAATTATTTAATAAACGCACCAAGAACGCGTCGCGCGAGCTCCAAGAAGGCAGAAGGAAAGCTAACGAGATTTTTTTTGTACGCAGTATAGATTATTTTCTCAATTTTTATATATATTTATATATAAAAGTTAAGAAAATTTATATATATATATTACAAAAATATATATTATATTGTAACATATAATATATATTATAAAAAATATATATTCTCTCTTTTATTTATTGCATCGATCCGCGAAGAATTGTGTCGAGCATTAGAGTAAAAAGAATATCTCGCGACTGCGCTAAGATTTATAATTCTTAAGAACTCCAACGTGTCATTGAACTATATACACACAACAAAGTGCAATACGAAAGTACAAAGTCTGACCTCCTGTTCTCTCGAATTTTATAAATCCCCTCCCCACGGAGAGGGAGAGAGAAGACGAAGAAGGAAGAAGAAACGAAGAGAAATCGATCGATCGCTCCTCTTTTAAAGTGTTCTGCGCCCTCGCGGTTGTAAAGAACCGCGAGGGCATAATAAATTAGCGACGACGAGCGCGCGCCCCGGCTCTCTTTCGCGGCTTATACACGAGATCTTATCCAATGCGTGATCGTATCTGTGCACCGCGATAAATTTACCCCGGATAATACAGTGGAACTTCATTTTATATAAGAGCTCGGCCCGCTACGTTCTCGAAGTTTCGTCTTCGCCGTGGATATGTAGTTGCGCTGTATTATTTAAAAAAAAAAAAAAAAAAAATAGGGACGATTTTGTACCGAATCGATTTTGTACCTATTTCACAGCCATACATGTTACACACCGCACACACACACATACATGCACACACATACACGATCAACACACACGTACAAACGATCCTTCGTTAAAATCTCGCGATTTCTGTACGCCTGAAGCATACGAGTAGTATATTATATAGAAGCATTTCTACGGTCTCATATATTAACCGGAGTTAACGTTAATGGTACCTAAAGTAGTCGATCCGCAAATCTAATGACTAAATATTCGGCACAATTACTGACATAATAACTGTACATATATATACGAATATTTTCCAGAAAGAGATGACGAAAAAACCAAGTAATACCCGCAATTGTTAAGCATATAAGTCAGAAGAGCTCTGTTATATAGACAAGAACGAATATACCACCGTCGTTTATATTAATTGAATACAATAAAAGCAAGTTTCGAGCAAAATCTTCGTGTATGTTTTACCCTGTGTCGCCCGTTGAGCTTCGAAATTTCATTTTAGTTCAATGAAAATATTCAAATTTCTTATATTATTTCGTTATATAATAAGATAGTAAACCCTTTCGTTAAACAAAAAAATTTAATTGGAAAAAGATAACCCTCAATTAGCACACATGTGCTAATTCGCACTACTTTTTTTTCGTTCAGCACTTTATATATTTCAATTTTTCATATAAAATCATTTCTTTTTCGTAAAATAAAGTGCACTACTCGATTGCCAGAGAAATTTTACATAAATTTTTATGAAAAATGACTGAGATACGACAGTTAAAAGTTGTCAAAATCTCAAATCGCACTAGTGTGGCATTTGACCCTTATAGAAATTTAATACTGTAAGTGATTTTTTGGCTAGTAATTAATCACTTAAAAGCACTATTAAAAGCACTATTAAAAGCACTGTTAATAGTGCTTTTAATAGTGCTTTTAAATGATTAATCACTAGCCAAAAAATCACTTACAGTATTAAATTTCTATAAGGGGAGGTGGCCCAACCGAGGTGTGCTAATTGAGGGATAATTATTGCGGGTACTCATTTCCAGGTAACAGAACGACGTTTAAACGCGTCTTAATTACGTATTGTTGACGTTAGAGACGTCATTAAAGAGTTATTAATACGTCATTTGACGTCACTCTGCTAACTGGGTTGCTTTCTATTTTTCATTTCCTTTTATTACATTATATTCTTTATTCAGATATATTTAAAGAAATGCTACTAAATTTTTGAATATACGAAAAACGATTTTTACAGAACGATCAATTTATTCTAAATAAAATCTTTATTTTTCACTAGGATTATAATTATTCTATTTCGAATTACGCTTTATATAGTATATCTGTATTTACGTAGCTTTTCTCTTTGTCTACGCCAATTAAGGAAGGAGGTTAGACGAGAGTTGCGAAACACGTGGCTCTCGATGCCGTCCAAAAATCGTCGAAGTTATCGGGAGAACAGAATGGGCGAGGGGATTACGAGAGGTGGCACGAGTCAAATCCGATTCAAATTTCGCGCCCTCTGGGAAACTTTCACTCGGAAGAGGTGAAGTGAGCTGCAAATCCAAATTTTCAGATTTTGAGGTTGGTTAACGTGACGTTGGAGACGATCGAAGCAAACTTCAGTAGGAGCGCGGAGATTCGAATCGAATTTTATTTCTGCCACCTCTCGCATAACCTCCTCGCTCATCCTGTTATCCTGATAACTCCGGCGATTTTTCGAAGCTCAAGAGACCATGGCCTAGCCTCCCTCGTTTAACCTCTTTGTCTTGGAATGAGAGTAAAGAGAAAGAGAAGGAGAGGGAGTGAAAGGGGGAGAATTGAGAGAGAGATGAGTGGAGATAAATTTACATAAATGCAGGTATTCTAAAGCGCAGTTTATCTTTTTCCTTCCAAAGTGGAGTGCAAAAGATAAACTCTGCTGAACGAGCGCAGCCAGTTCGGTTATTAGAAAACGGACCCAAAGATAAAATGGACATAATAGATATTTATCTTCTTGCATGTCTACGTTTTCTAGGTTCTCCGAGTCAAAAATCTAACCAGAACAGCCAAGTCAGTCGAAATTAGACTTTACAACGTTTGCTGCAAATTTTTTTCAGTAGAAAAATTATGGTGCAGTTTTGATGCAGAACTTATGTGGAATATTGTTGGTGGAATTACGGTGAAAGTTATGACGGCGGATTGACAGCGAAAATCAAGTAAAACAATTTGATTAACGGATTAACGGCAGAAATCTAGCAGTACGCGCGTTCAACGGATACTCTTGTTTGCAAGCTCGTAGCTGGTAAGCTATAATAGTTCATAATAAACTTATTGTGCGGAGTGGATACCACTTTTTTACTCGCATCTGCTTTCTACCTGTTGACAATTTACTTGCTAGACTTATCAGTATCTATATTTTTCTTACGAAGATGTCTATTTACAAATTAAAGGCAAAGCAAGAGAAAAATAAAAGAGTAAACTAAAAGAAAAGCTTATTGCAGCCATTCTTGAACAATATATAAAGATAAGATTCTTTTAAAGCAAATTCCTTGTTATTACCAATTTATTTTCATTTTTATCTCTCTCAGTTACATATTAATTATTATTATTATTCCATTTGCCCCTATATACTAATGAGAGTACGTATTATATTTTCAGTGTCCACACAATATCTTCAGCTCGTTCACTGAGTGAGTCTTCTCCGGTCTTCTCAAGTCTCAGGGAGTATAATATACTATGCTCAGCATAGTGTCGATCTCGTCCGAGTCATGAAAATTTAACGGGAACCGGCCACGGGTCTCCCATCATCATCCCGTAGCGCTCTCTACCTGCCGTGTCCAGGATTAATTCGCGATTGTGGTGTCCTGGGCCCCCGAGGACCCGTGAGAACCCGACGGTGAACGGAAGGGAACGCGGAGAACGCGTCCGATCGCCGTTGCGGAAGGTGTGTGCCTCGGTTCCAGCGCGGTCGCGTGACGGCCAGATTTCAGTTTCAACCTGAGACATTCTCTTTCCTCGGCACCGCGTCCTTCCGCGTGGATCTCCTCGGTGTAACACATACATTATATACATATATATATAATATATATACAGCCGCGACGAGAGATCGGACGCGCGCATTCCGCAGGAGGCGGATGATCGCCGCGTTGGAGATGTGAGAATTTTCGGAGCGAGCTCCGTGAACGACCCGCAGAATGGCCTTTCTGTGCCCTGTACGCATACGTCGCGGAAAGAAGAAGAAACGTGAGTAAACGAGTCGCGGAAAGAGAGCGAGAGAAAGAGGAAGCGAGGCGGAGAGTGAAGGGAAGACCGAGGGCATGGCAGTTCGGTCGCGAGGGCCAGTTGTCACATTCGGCCTGATCACCTGTTGCTCGGGACCGGTTATGCAGCTTCGGCCACGCCGTAGCCACCGCGAAGAGCGAGCCGGGCCGAGTTCATGCACCGATTACGCGCGACTTTCGATTTTTCTCTCCGTCGGAAAATGCGAGATCGTCTCCTCGAAAAAGCGTCTATTTTAAAGTCGATTATAACTATTACTGTCGTTTTTCCGAAGTGCGCCTTGTACAAGCAATTTTCATCGTGATTGAAATAATTTTTGTTGCTGTGTCTTGCAAGCATACGTCAGAAATAATTCTTTTCGTAATCTTAATGATCCTTCTTTCTCTCTTTCAGAAAGAATTTTATTATTTAAAAAATTGTATGAAATTTTTGTAAAATTCTTAGACGAATCAATTTTATTTTATTTTTAAGTCGTATGTAAATTTACTTGCATTTATGATAAATTGCTAATTCCAAATAGCCGGAACACACAACTTTAATTTGGAGAAAGAGTGTGGGACGGGTGGTACAGGACTTGGTTTGGGCACTAGGGTGCCATTGCCGCCTGGTCGGATAACTGGAAGCGCGAGCATTGAGACTCTCGTAAGGGTCGGCATTGAAAAGGAGAATGGACTCTCTCCGGACAGTAAAATGGTCATTGTGCATGACTTTACCCCCTGCGTGGACGATGAACTTCAAGTCAAAAGGGGCCAGGTCAGCGATTAATTTACAGAATTGTTCTCTTCCTTGTTTAATCACGTATTACAAGCTGTGTGCTATTTGTATTACACACGTAGCAATTTCTATAATACGTGCAATTTTTTTTACCTCACCTTTGCCCACATAAAAAATTATACAATCGCAAACGATAAAAACGAAACGATGTATTTGTTAGAAAAAAAAGTTAGTACTAATATCGGAACCTTTACGTTTCAGGTAGTAAACGTGCTTTACAGAGAAAACGATTGGGTGTACGTAATAGCGGCTGACACGCGTATGGAGGGCTTCGTGCCGCACTCGTATTGCGCCCCGTACACGTCGCAGCTGGCCGAATTGACGCTGGCCAGTTTGAACAACGTGAAGAAGAAGCTGCCGCGGTCCAGCGAAAACGAATGCGATCTTCTCAGCACGGGCCGTCTGCAGGAGACGCAACAGACCGATACCGGATCAGCCTCGGATTGCGAGAGCTACGCGCGAAATAACATCACCACCGCGGATGTCAACGTCAATCGCTCTAACATCACGCAGTCCCAGAATTCCATACAGACTATATCATCCCAGCCGGACGTACATCCCTTCTTCAAGGTAGTTGACTGGCCGAAGTACTATAAAAATGCCTAACATTCAATTTTAATATCTCTCTCCGAGCGTTAAAAATATAAATCCGGATGCTCAATGAAAATTGGTATCTTCCCGATGTTGAAAATTTTTAATTTTTTTGAATAAAGTATTGATGGTTGTGAATTAGGAATTCATTATGGCACTCGTTAATCTTGTTTGACGAAGACTCATCAGCGAGAAATTCTACTGTGCATCCCGCAGGATCCATCAGCCGGAAGATACATCGTTCTTTACACGTTCGTGGCGCGGGACGAGAACGACCTCAGCGTTGAGAGGGGCGAATTCGTGACCGTGCTGAATCGCGACGATCCAGATTGGTTCTGGGTGCTCCGACATTGCGACGGCAACGAGGGTTTCGTACCGTCCGGTTTCGTTTATCCTGGTCACGTTCTTAATTCTTACGCCACCACACTGGCCACCACTGCCACTACAAATACAGCGTCCGCAGAGGCTCACAGTCCAGGTTGGCTCTTTATTGAATCATCGAGAAATAAATCTTGGAAAGATTTGCTGGGATATATATATACATAAATCAATAATAGATTTCGATGGAGTTTTGTAGGAGTTCTATCAGGACTACAATTGTTATCGATTTTCCATAATTATCGACTTGTATTAACAATATCCGTCTTACAGGCAAAGGTACGGGGGGCAATATACCGGGAGGCGAGTCATTGCAGCAAAAGGGAGTGCGAGATTTCCGGGACGAGACGACCGGCACGGAATTAGTGGTGCTTTACGATTACAAGGCGCAGGCGCCGGATGATCTATCGGTGAAACGGGCCGATTGGATATATGCAGATCTGGGAAATCAAACGGTGGACGGCTGGCTTTGGGCTTACGCGCCCAAGACTCGCAAGTACGGTTTCATTCCCAAAGCGTACGCGCGACCCCCTGCTATGACTAGTTTATAATTCGGACTGTTAGAAAAGGAAAAAAAACTTGCCTTTACTGCTTCAAGTAAGTTCGCAATACCATCCTTTGCACCATCCTTTTATCTATTGTATGTCATCAAGTATGTGTAAAGAGCGAGAAATTTAATATTTTATTTAAATACCTACGACCAATGAGATTACTGAGACCGGATGATGCGAAAAGTAAAGTGAATTTAGGCTAATGGAGGATATTTTTAAGAAATAAACGAGAGATTGCGCGTGATACGAAACGCAACTTTAGGTCTTTCATTCACTTTACCCATTTTTCCTGCATGTTCCTTGCAATTTATATTGGATGGACTTACATTTTCAAGACAGTTACTTAAGACAAGGATATATATACGTGTTAACAAGTTTAGTGTACAATAACATTTACATTGAGACTGGTACAGCCGGAAGTGATATGGCTGATCAATCCCTCGTGGAGAACTATACAGTCGCCAGCTAAGAAGACGTCACGTGGACATTGGGCGGCTCTCAGGGAGGTCACAGGGCCCGTGTACGTAAGCGATCGGAATCCCCCGTTTTCGATGCTGTCGACGGCCTGTCAGTTAAACCATTCAAATGTCATTATCCATCTTCAAGCATTGATACGTCTTCGTCTTGAGCGCGCGAATCGATCTAACGTATACCTGGATGCTACATCGAAGTCTGTCAGCTGTATCGCCGACGTCTAATCCCGCTACCCAGGCGATGATCATGTCTTTCTCACCCTGACCTTCTCCGCCGGCGTGCACTTCCTTGCAACACGCGTAATTACGACTGCTGTGCAAACGCGCTGCCAACACCGGCAGAGGCAACCGATTCCGATACTTGGGATTTATTTGAATGCCACCGAACAGTCTCGCTGAGGAATCTCTTATTGTTATAGAAATTTCTGCGATTAGTGATTGACTTAGGCGCGTTTATAATCAATATTAATCGCGTATATTATATACGGTTATCGTCTTTCTTTTTTAATTTTAAATCAAACTCAAACCAAATCTTTGTACATTTTTTTATATAAAAAAAAATTGTTTTAGGAAATATGTATATCGAATGCACCATCTCTGTGCAATGTTTATACGACGATAGTATACTAACGAGAGCTTTCCGGACACCAGTAAGAGAGCTAGACATCGACTGGAATTGCAAGAGAGAGCTCCGTAGCTGACGATGAGCGTGCTCTCGGCGCCGGGCTCAACGCTGAGAATAGGCACCTCGGGATGGTCGAAGAGGAAGTGATGGGTGAGCGCTGAGAAGGCGACGTTCACCGAGCAGTCTAGGCGTGGGCAACGTATGGGTCTACGGGAGCAGTCGACGGAGGAGGAACTTTTGACCTTAATCTCGGAAGTGTATCGATCCGCTGCGCTGTTTCTCCTCGTCATCAGATTGCAATAGCTGTGTTGCTGTTGACACTGTCTCCCGCAGCTTTTCGTTTGCTCCTCCCGTCGCGAATTGCCTCGATCGCGACCGGCGACGTACGAAACGTCCGATTCGCAATCTAAAGTCTCGTTATTCGCCTCGACGGGCGTCGTCTTATTGAAGTTGCAAGCCCACTGATCGCGACGCGGGTTGCACGTCCTCAAACGTAGGCGATCGCCATGATCGTTGCCTCTGCCCTGGAAGAAACTCGCGTGCGATCTTTGAGGCTGAGGGGGCTCCGTATCTATAAAAGGATATATCTTTCTTTTTAGGAAATATTTAGTTTTTTTTTTTAAATCTAACGACAATTAAGCGCATGTTTGCCGACCGACTTGCGCTGATTAATTAGATATCGTCACTTGATTCATTATTTAGAAATGTTATGATATTCTAAAGATTTTTTCTTATTTTTTTTTTTTTTATAACGTTGATTCTTGCAACGCAGAAAGAAATAAGTACTTACTGGCTGCAAGACTATTTGATTAAAGGTATAATTTTTTTAAAGAGACTAAAGAGACTATTGTGTGTATGACGAGTAGGATGTTCAATAGAATATTTCTTTTCTGAAAATCTTACAACTTTCTCTTTTTAGATTTCTACATATAACGATAGTTAAGATGGACATTTTATCTACCTGTTTGAATTGAAAAGTTTCGTACGCAACGTTGACACAACAAATAGCCCTCGGACCAGCGTGGATCCTGCTCAGAATCGGTGACGCTTCCACCGAGATTCGCGTCGTCGATGATAATGTGACAAATCGCGCACTGCCCAATCTGCGCAGCTTCCTGCTCGTTTTCGTTCGCTTCTTCTTTTTCTTGGTTTGCATTTACTTTCTGAACTTTTGTATCATCCTCCTCACTCCGGTCTTCGTCGGCTCTCCGTTCTTCATCTTCCGCCTCGTCCTCCGTAGCCTCGCTAGAGATTTCCTTTCTTTTCTGCACTCTGCTTTCGTTGTCCGAATACTTTCGAACGAGATGAAGATAATTTAATCCCTACAATTCGATTGATGGAAATAAAAATTAATTCCTATACAATATTTCTTTTTATCTCAAGTGATAAACGTTAATTTGGTAATTGCTGGCTTATTCAAGCAAACAGAATCATTAATCTCGATTTGAACTCACAGTATTAATTACCGCAAATAAATTTATCAAAATAATTATTAATTTTACATACAGTTAATATCGTTAAATGTTTCTTTTGCAAAAAAATAGGCTAGTCTCTCTATACTTTACAGAATTTACTCCTGATGTTAAAGAAACTGTGTTCGTAATTATGATTGATTGAAAAATATGTTGGGATACATTTGCAAAAAAATCTGTTAAAATTGGGGATCTACAATCTCCTTTATCGAATGAATTTTATGATAACCGATTGCGATTTGCGTCTTTGTTCGCAGTCTCGTGCGTACAGATATCACATGCCTTGCGGTGATTATTTATCACGCGGCCGTCGGCTTTGGCCGCTCTATAATCAACCCTTTCGTCCGTTTCTTCGCGAAGCATCTTCGGCCGCTCTTATCACAATTTTGATAACCTTTCGTCGATGACGCGTGTCTCCGCGATCGGCTGATCTTCGCCACGAGCGTCTGTTCGCGTGATGTGCAAAATTGTAATTTCCGGTGTCTGAAACTCGACTTGCGTCTACAAAACATGTATCTTATTTATGAATGCACTTCTTTCTCTTACATAAAATTATTGATTATTTTATATTTAGCAATATGGATATATGATCACACATTTCTCCTCGTGACTTATTCGTTATTTTCAACATTACGTATCTTTATAATTAAACTCTTAATTAAAGCTAAAATTAATGCCCACTTAATACTAATTGAAAAATTATAGTTTTATCATCTGTACTCGCTATTGTATTCTCAAATAACGTCGCTAATGGCCCCAAATTAGCCAAACAATTTGTCATAAAGCATTATTGCTTATCACTGAGCTTACCCAGATCCAACGAGCTAATTTTCTCTCCTTGACAATTACTGCGGAATTTAAAAGAGATTATTAAGATATTATAGCGGCGAGATATTGTAGACGGACTTTTTTGGATTTCCGAAGTGACTCGTGATGCAATGATCTATTTGACGACCGATTGAACTCCAATTGACAAACGTTCTTAATTTCGCTGTAATTTAGTTCAAGAGAATTTACACTCGTCAGAGCCAGAAAATGCTCGATACGCCACGGTATTTAGATCAGATGTATAAGGCCATCTTGACGTTTCTCGGAACAAAGAAGAAACAAGTCGCAATGATATCAGCCGCAATATCGCTATAAGAAAATTCGACTCATCGTGCTTTCCTCCTGCGGGTCTTAAAAATCGTTCAGCCTTATAACTCATATAGAAGTCTGTTTTTTTACACTGGAAAAACGATACGCGATATAAAAGCCATTGACCTTTAGCTTTCGTGCTCGTTGCTACAATCGATGCGTTCTGCCTCGATATCTATCTGTTTGTGCGAAATATGTCCGATATGTAGATATCGGTTATCTATGATACAGCTCTCTTGAATTTATGAATTAAAAGCAGGCCGATAATCGTCGCCGAAGCCTTTCTATCTCGCAAATTTAAAGTTTTTTTTTTTATATACTAAATACCGCGAGAGTAATCGGTCGCGCGAATAAGATACACATGGATGGTTGTTAAGAAACACGTGTTTTATTAAAAAAGCACATATTAAAAGATTAGAAAATAGTAAACGATACGATGCGTACATCGCCTGGTCGATTTTTAACAGCAGGTAATATGCCTAATTGGGACTGAGCGGGTAGATTTATGTTTAATTAATCCGTGCTGATACCTCAATGATCACATTTTTTGATCGTAATGCTGTAATTACGTTTAGTTTTAATACAAGTATTAATTGTTAACTTAATACCTAACTAAAATTCGATTTGTATAATACATATCATTAATTAACGTTGCAGCATACATTCGATAACTAGCTGCTGTATAATCTACAGCAAAGCTACAGAAATGTCTCTCGTAACTCTTTGAAAACGCGAAATTGTTTCAGAATGTTGTTAGTTACGTTGCTACAACGTTTCATTCCTGCACGTTTCATTCATTTCCGAACTTCTTGTGAACGACAATAACAATTCTATACTTACACACGTGTTAAACGCAGAAATTACTTATCGGTAATCGATACGATATTTTATCGTGTTCTTGTACTTATTTCTTAACATCGCCCGTCTTCGCCTCCGGACAATCGTTGACCAACTTTTGCCTCACGTTCGCCAATCTCTCCGCGCTGATCGCCTGTATATTGCCCAGATGAGTATTGTCCAGCAGCGTCTTCAGGTTTCGTTTACTGCCCAAATTGATCATGCTGCTACTCTTGCTTCTGAGCGCCGCTGATAACGCGGACGTTTGTCCGAAGAGCGATAGTAACGGTAACTCTTTAATACTGGCGGTTTTACTCGCGATCTTTTTGGAAATTGAACCCTTGTCGAGCTGGTCCGCGCTCCCGGTATCCAAGGATCTGGCGGACGATATTAATAGGTTCTTTCGTTTTATCGGACTGGAATTGGCACTGCATGACGCACTCTTTTGCAGAATACTGGAGCTAGATCGTGATTGCGGGAATGCGACATCGCCCTGCGAGTTCGTCGAGTGTTGGCTGACGCCGGGAGACGCTGCGACGTGACGTCCCGATGAACTAGATTCCGCAGGCAGGAACTCGATATTAGAAACTTGCGCGATACGTAAATTCGTAAGTTGTACGTGGCTCTTATTGGCTAAAGTATCGTTTGTATCACTATGTCTATCTCTTCCCAGTTCCTCCCTCGTAGCACCCACGTCGGCATTGTTAGGGGCGTTAATGTCCCAGCTGCTCTGTGTTTTCCTATCCTTAATATTGAATTGAGAGATTCTGTTTGGCACGTATTTCGATATACCTGCGCTTCCCGCTTTCTCGGTGATCCTATTCTCGAAATTGGACGTACCTCTATTCACTGGACTACTGTTCAATGATTTCGAAGTGTTGCTCTTTAAAGCGAGCGCCGACGCGCCGCGTAACGCCGTCGTCGAATCGATCGTCGAGCCCGATTTGAGCAAGTTCGATCTGCTAAATCTGTCCCTTTCCAAAGTCCCCGGATTTTCAGTCGATCTCGAAAAATGATTTAAATTACGCGTTTTAGACAGTTCGACTCCAGATAAAGGATCGTAGCACGTCCCGTTCACGGTGTTGACTTCAATCGTGTCAGATCGCAGATCGGAAGAACTTTGTGCATCGCGCTCCTCGACATGTAACGAATTCTCCATCGACAAGCGATTTAATTTTTCCACACTGGCTTGCAACTCGAGCTCCCATTGCGTGAACTTGCTCTCGCTGCCGTCGACGGATCTCTTGTCAAGATGTTCCGCATCATTCTTCGTCGAGCAAGACTTCTGTAAATTTTAGATAGACGATAGAAAACGACAATTTTAATGCTTTGCACGAGATTAATCATCATATATTTTACTCACTTCGATATCGTGCAGTTTTTCACTGTTCCCATTTTCGTTATATCTAATGGGAGATATTTTGTGACTGTCGGAATCATTAAACTCGTTCTTATACTTCTGGCGCGTGTCTGAACCAATGAGCTCGGCACCGACGCCAGGTTCTCGCGGTCCCTTAGCCACGATATCTAAAATACAAATATTTATATTTACAAAAAAAAAAAAAAAAAAGAAGAAACTTTTATTTCATATATTTCTAAAATATATTTCACCCTACCATAATCTCTTCGTTGTTGGTGTATCTGATTACTAATTTCTTCCAACGTCCGGAGACTCGTTGCATAATTACGTTTGGCTTCCTTAACAGCTTGCTGCAGGTACTCTACTCTGTCCTTCTGCGTCGCCAGCATCTGATCGCACTGGGTCTTCACCTCAAAGTACGATCTCGCTTTTATTATTGCATTTCGATGCTTCTCTTCCAATTGCAATAGCCTTTTCTCGGCGTCGTGGAACAGCATCGCCCGTCTGTGATGTTCTCGACCGCACTCCGCCTTTTGATTGTCCGCGTCCATGACCTCGACAAAAAAACATTATTTAATTTTATTTGCTATTATTTTTCTTGACGAATGATAAATTAATTAATGTGAAACAAAAATAAATAAATAAAATGTAGGATATTTTTATCGTTCTAAATGTTTCGCAATACTTTCAAAATTACACGGTCACCGTGCTGTGCGTTCTAACTCTTATACTTACTTTAATGGTAGCATGATTGAGCATATCCTGCCATGCCTGGTCAAAATTCCACTCATGCTGATGAGACATGAATCGCGCTTCGGCCAGGGCGACTGTTTCCTTCGCCGCTGCGTGAATTTCGCTGGCTCTTTGAAATAGCTGCGCCTGCTGCTGACACTGCACCTGTAAATTGCAAGAGGAAATGTTTCATTGTTTCACTTACGTAACAGTTCGGTTAATTGTAATTCAAATCGCTTAATTCAAAACTGGTGTTAACTTATAATGGCAGGTTACCTTAAATATGAAATGTTATGTTCAAATAATAAAATAATTAATAAATTTTTCATCGTTATACGTGTAAATCATATAAATGTATCAAAATTCATTAATGAGCTGTATTAAAATAAATAATATAAATAAGTTACAACTTTCGGTATATATTGAATTTATAAAGCTTTATTTTAATTACAAGCGCGATCCATTAAATCGGCACGAGAGGAATTTCAATCGGGCATAGCAGGATATGCTCATTCACGTCGCTATTAAAGCAAGCATCAGAGTAGAACGCGCAACGTGTGGTAATCTCGCCATGCGTTCAATAGCAGTTCTCTTTGGGAGCATTGTGAAACACTTGAAGCCATTAAAAACATTTACTGAATTTACTAAAATTCTACATAACTCGATATGTACATTTTTATATACTGTGTTTATACTATTATTTTGTGACACAATAAAATCAGATTTGAGACTAGACTCTCTACCTGAGCTTGATGAGCCATCTCCAGTGCTTCGTAATAACATCTTGCCTTTTCAATGCAGCTAGTGCCCAGTTTATCCGTAATTTCTTTCAGCCTCCTTGTTGTATCCGAAAGGAGCTGCCCAAAAGCAGTGTGGGCTTCCTAAAAATTAATTAAGATTAAATAAATATTGCAAATACATACACTGTTCGTCCTGTACATTACAAACGAAATGAAGTACTATTTCTTACATCCAATTCAGTCTCCAGTTTATTAATATTGTCTGCTGCATTGTTCAAGTTCTCCAACTCGATCTAGAAAACAAATTTATCCTATAAGATGTTATTTTATATACTTTACACATAATTTCCATTATTTAAAGTACCAAAATGAGATCATGTCAAATACAAACTCTTCTAAATTTTTCCACTTAAAATTTAAATTACATCGTATGCTATGAGCTTTAAAGATCGCTACTTAATTACTCTGTCATTTATTTTAATTTGTAATTTCAATATACGAAAAGGCAATTATAACACTATATATCTAAATTAAGAATTAAATATTTCGTTACAGAGAATAGAAGATTTCTAGTCATTCATTTCTCTTTTTTAGATTTTTCCACGGGAAAAATGAAACAAAGGAGGAAGGAGCGTCTCGAGATAGAACTTTTCCCCAATTGAATTTCACATCCACACAGTTAGAATTTAAATTATATATTGTACCATAGCTTTTAGAATTCAAGTTCACTATTTAATTACTGTCATTTATTTCAACTCGTAATTCCAGTATATAAAAAGAAAAGTATTACTTCATGCTGTACCTCTAAATTAAATTATTTCATTACAGAGAAGAGAATGCTTGTTTACGTTCACGTCATTTATCTCTTTCTTTAAATATCATACTACAGAAAAAATGAAACCAAGGTCCTCCTACGCGTCTCGAGTCTCGAGCTAGACTCTTCCCTGAATTGAATTTCACATGCGCTAATTAGAATTTAAATTACCGTTCTTTATTTCGATTCTAATTCCAGTATATGAAAACAAAGACGTTATTTCAAGCTATACCTAAATTAAATTAATATCTTTTCAATAAATAAATTCTTTCATTACAAAGAAGAGAATATTTTTACCTATTTACGTTTACGTAATTTATTTCTCGTTTTTAGGTGTAACACCCCAGGAAAAATGAAACCAAGGAGGAAATATTTCGAGATAGGACCCTGCCCCGATTGAATCTCCACTTCCTCGCAAAACAACGACTCCGTTGCTCCGTTCATCGGCAGAGGTGACAGACGCGATTAGGACATTCGCGAACGAGACGCGCATCTCGCGTCTCTCAGCCACGTCCGTCCGCGCGAAGGAAGGAAAGTGAAAGCAAAGTGGGACAATGTACCAGGCGGTGTTAGGCACTGCGACCGCGACCGCGCCGACGGGACGGGACCTAACCTAAAACGCCACGGGCGTGGACCGCGGGCGCGCAGGAACGGGGTAAAGCGGAACGCGGGAGGCGTTTCCCGAGAGCGTCGTCTCACCTGGATGCGCGGGTCCAGCGCGGCCTCGGCGTCCTCCGCGACGTCCATCTCCATCCGGCGGCTGGCGCGGGCGGCATTTAACGCTGGCGCGACGTCGAGGCGCGACGTGTCAACTCATGATCGCCGAGCCGAGCGAAATCCCGTCGGAAGTCGGAAGTCTCCTCTCTCCCTTTCTCTCTTTCTGCCGCGGGTCTTCCTCGAGCTGCGACGCGGATGTGTTTACATCCCGCGACACCGCCCTCGCGAACACTGGCCACTGGCAGCGTCCGAGACACTCGCGCGCGTTAACGAGCGGAACACGCGCGACGCGACGGGAGTCTCTAGGCTCTCTCTAGGCGCGGACGGGAACGTGGAGGGAGCAACCGAGAACAAATCGACGCGACTCGCGTCTGAACGTGCTGGCGAGGAATGCGGCGGAGATAAGCGTATTAGCGTAGCGCTGACGCATCTCGATTGATGAATTCTACACCCGCATCATCATCATAATGGAATCGCGCCTCGGTCACCCCCTTCCCTTCCCCCCCGTTGATTGGACCGTCCCGTAGTTTCCGATGGGATTCGCGAGCCAGGTGTCCACTGCGACGGGAGATCCAGCGGACGGCTGAAGTACGCGCGAGAGTCGATTCGAGGAGTTTAGTTTAGAAGGGGATCGATTGTACTCTCCAGACATCGGCGGAATTATCAGGGGAACATATGTTCGCTAAGCTCGGACGCATTAGCGGGGAACACTTAATTCAAATACGTTAGGGTGACTCCAACTTCGAGCTCCGACTCCGACTCCGATTAACTTGCGTTCATTTCGAGTATTATTTCTACCCCAATGCAGATTAACTTTGATCTCTCGATCGGTTTAACTTGGTTTTTATTTTTTTCTAGTTCTGCGAATAATCAAAGTTAATTTTTATTTTCTAGTTCTGAGAATTTTATGTCTATTTCTATACCAATGCAGATTAACTTTAATCTCGGTTTAACTTACTTTTTATCTCTCTCTAGTCTGCTCTAGTCCTGAGAATTATAAAAAAAGATTAAAAAGAAATAAATTAATTAATAATGTAAATTAATTTATATTGGTAGAAGTAAAAATTAGAAACTTTAATTTTAACTGGCGATTAACTTATCAGGTAATACTTGTCTCGTTAACGTGACTGGAATTGTTTGTTTATCGTTCGACATGTGGGGAAGAATAATCAGGTCAGAAGGTAACGAATTGGAAATTTCGCTGCAAAAACGGGGTTAGTTGAATTAATCACTGATTAATTTCTTAAACTAAATAATACTCGTATCATTTTGTTGACCCGAATAGAATTATTAATGTTTCATTGTTTAACATATAGACAGAAAGATTGGATCAGAAACAATGAACAAATTTATATAATCCGAAATTTTGTTTTAGATAATTCTGCCGGTCAAATTAGTCGCCGATCAATTTAAATCGGGATTTAAATCGACTCAAAGTTGCCCTGGATCTGAAAAGTAAGGCAATGAATTTTGAGGAAACGTACAAATCTTTCCCATTATTACATAGAAACAAGAGTTTAACTTCCCGATTATACGTAAATTAGGGAAAATCATTTGGAAGCAGAGATAAAAGTGAACGAAGGAAAGATTTTCTTTTGCTCCGGCAAACGCGCGCGGAAAACGTGGCAAGTGGCGTCATCTGGCGCGAAGCCCGCGCACCAGCGACGACCGCGCGGCTCGCGCGCCGCGAGAGTCGGTGGGTCGGTGGGCCAACAAACATGGCGTCTGCCAAGTAACAACGCTCCACGCCGCGTTAACGAGTGCCTTACGGTTTTTAGGTTCATGTTACCGCGTCGCCACGCGCATCGCTCCGCGTTCCGCGCCAGCGAGCCGTTTTCTACGTTTTTCTACGTGTAGCGCTCCCCACCCGAGTCTCTCCCGGGGAGATTTCACTCGGCGACGACGACAAGGTGCGTGCAACTAGTGCATCGCGGCGGCGACGGCGGTGGCGGCGGCGGCGGCGGCGAAGGCGGCGGTGGTTCGCGACGGCGGTTCATCGCGGTGAGTCACAGAGACACTTGTACGTGAACGTGCGGAGCCGTCGCGGCTCCCGCTAATTGACAGCGGAAGGCGGGACGATTGTCACGGATCCGCGGGCTAACCGGGGCGTGCGCGAAAAGAAGAGAGCTGTGACGGCCGGACCGGTGACGATTTCTCGCTCTCTCTCTCTCCGCGTTCCGCGACTCTCCGTCGTCGCATTCCCTTTCTTTCGTGTGATTACCCAATTTCCCAGTCGTTTTTCTTGACCGCCCGACCGCGAGTGGCCACGACAAAGCGGTTCCCCCCGAGTCGGAGGTGCCCGCGCGTCGACTTCACTTCCGCGGAAGAGTTGGGGGTTCTCCGCATTCGTTATATCATATCCGGATTATCAGCGGTTTTTTTACGGTGATACTTGCATTTTTTTTTTTTTTTACGTCATTGGTTCCGATAATCGCGACACGATAAGCCCGATGTGTGATCTTTGCCTGAGTTTTCTGTACTAAAATTGTTTGGTTGGATTATTTATACTTTCAGAGTAGGAGACCATTGTTTCGAAAATGCCTACACAGACGGCAGAGAACGATGACATTCGAGTGAAAATTAAATACAATGGGTAATGCATGTTGTTATAAAAACTGTTTTATGGTTTGTCTTTAATTTTAAAAAGTTGACGTTTAATTTCTCACGAAAGTTTTCAAGTCGCTTATTATTTTTATTGTGATCTTAAAATTGTGTATCATATCCGTGACAAAATTAGTCAACATAGATATATTGAAATATATCATTAGACTCGTGAAAATGTCAATAAATTAATTAAAAGACGATACGAGTCAAGCGTGGTACGTGGTGCGCAACTAGAGAATTAATAGTTACAGATTACAATGGGAGCTTTCCAGCAAGCGACACAAGTCGACACAAGTGTCATTTTGTCTCTGTTACTCATTGCCAAAAAAGAAAGATAGAACGACGTTTGTGTCGACTTGTGTCGCTTACTGGAAAGCTCCCAATAGTTACAGTTATTCGTTACTTCTGTAACTATTAATTCTCTAGTTGCGCACCACGTACCGCGCTTGACTCGTATCGCCGTCTTTTAATTGATTTATAGATATATTGAATTAATTTAAAGAAAGATAAATAAAGAGTCGATGCTGAAGATGTCAAATTAGGATTATGCAAATCGAAGCAAAACAATGATTTTAAGACAGATGTGTGACGTGACGTTTTTCCTGCATTAGGGACGTACATATCATGTACATCACTCCCGGGATTACGGTGGACGCGCTGCGCGAGGAGTTGCGAACGATATGCAGCTTCGGTACGGAGCAGTTCACGATGAAATGGGTGGACGACGAGGGCGACCCGTGCAGGATCGCCTCGCAGCAGGAATTGGATGAGGCGCTGAGGCTGTACGAGCTCGAGAAGGACACGGAAATAATCATACACGGTCAGTCAGGCTGTTTACGTTTGAGCAACTCTGATTGTTTTTTTCGCCAATCGTGTCTCCCGCATGTTGCTTTGATTTTAGCGCGACGCATTAACCGTTCAAAGACTGCGCGTTGCGCCCGACGATAGTCGCTTGCATGTCTGCACTTACATAATTAGAGGAGTGGAGCACCGTACTCGTGATTCATTCACGGTAGAATCAGCGCCCGGGTATAGGGAAGGGTACGCAATACATATGTATGCGACAAAATAGGCTCGTCGGTTAAATGTCCACCGATGTCTTTAATATTACTCCACGTTAATGGCCGCGCTGTTTAGATAAGAAGCCGTCCATAAATTACGCATAACCGATATATCTTGGCCGTACATATTAGCGACAGCGTGCTAAGTGCACGCTATGCAGGCGCTCCTACGAGCCCCGAGTATCGATACGCGCCGCGGATAACGGTATGTATGTACGTACGTACCTCGATGCTCGCCTTATCGGTGGTTTATCGTCGATACGAGTCGGCGATTAACGGCGAAACAGCTTCATCGGCGTCTAATCGTTACAGCGCCGGTGTTTATTCGGTGTACACATCGATCGATTCGACACGCGATTTCCTCAAGGATGACAACATTCTCGGGCGCGCCGCGTGTTGCGTGCCCACGAGGATTCTATATGCAGTCAGAGCGGCGTGTGATATAAAATTAGAAATTCATCAGCTCCGAGACTTCCCCGAGATAATTCGATACGGATCTCATTTGTGTGCGACGGCAAGATGCTTCTTGGAAGGAGCGGAGCGTATCGTGATCGCGCATACATTTCCGGTCGGAAGAACTTGGCCCTCGCGCGTCTTCTTTCGCTCCTCTCCGCGCGACTTTAATGACGATCGAACCCGTTTGATAAGCACGAAACAAACCCTTCGAGCCCCGAAGATTAATGCTTCAAAGAAAAAACCAACTCTCTACACCGAATACCTCCTTATTTTTGAACGAGATGGAATTAATTCGCGGTGTAAGAGGATCGTCGAAATTATCGATCGCGGACTTTCCAGAGAAAGATAATGAGAAACTGCAACTAATTAAAATACTTGATCTTGAAGGATTACAGAGTCAGGTTCAATATATTGTTCCCATAAATAACTCTCTTATTAAGCGTAGCTTAACGAGATTGCGTCTCTTTTCTGGAGCCTCGTGAAAAACCAATAATTTCCTAATGAAAACGTGACTCGGTACACGTGAACCTTATTCGGTATATGTACAATAATCGGACATCGTCGCACGATATCGACAGAATCTCGGTTTCTCGATGCATGTAACGCGCGTCAATCTTTACAAATACCTATGTATGTACGTTCGCGCGGTATCGGTCGCAGTGGTAGGCGGTGACTGCACGCTGTCACGAAAGAACGAGGAAGAATCGACAGGGCAGTGACCGAAGGAAATGCAGGATAATAACTCAAAGAGACGAACAGTCAACGATCAGAGTAAAAAATGGAAGAAAGCCAGAAAAATAGAGCAAAGGACAACGTAGAATAGAGTGTATTGCATCGTCGTGGGACGGAATGGTCCTCTTGGAATTCTTCGTAAAAGCAGAAAGACACAAAGAGCAGAGAAATCCGTTGAGACAGGAAGAAAATGGAGTTAACGAAAAGGACGTGAAACATGTATATAATATATTATAAGGCGGCGAGAGGCGCAAAGTTTACTTGAAAACGGTGACAAGAAGAATCGCCGGATAATCAGCGAGCAAACAGCAAAGGTACAAAAGAGGAGGAAGGGTGTTCGCGCGCGCGGGAGAGAAAGAGGGTAGAGCTTGGGAGAGGCAGAAACTCGTGGGTGGATATAGGCGGGTGTAGGTCCGACACCAACGGGGAACGACGGGGGGATACATGTATCACCTCCACCTCGGCGCGATCCGCGTTTGCGCGATGTCGTTCGGTAGCGTGCGCCGGGCGGCGGCGGCGACGGCGGTGGCGGTTAACGCATCTCGCCGCGGCGGTAGTCGATATCCTTGCACGGACCGATCAGCAAGGGCGCAACGCACACGTCACGCCGTCGCGCTACCGCTCGACGCGAATCTGGCTGTGAGATCCCGAGATCTCGGGTCGGCGCAGGCGGGAGGAAAGAGTGTCGCGGGAAGAGGAAGTCAAGCCGGGGATCGGTCGCGGAGTTGCAGAGAACTCCCCTTCGTGACTAGCTAGCCTGGCCCACGAAGAAGGGGTTGCGTCATATCGTGCGCCTCGACTACGGCGGCGATACTCGACTACGGTGGTTGTGTCGGCTCGCTTGGCTCTCGCTACACCGCGAGCGGAGAGAGGTCGCAAAAGAGGCGGTAAACTAGCATTGATCGAGGCTGGTGATTCGTCGCATGCTCATCCCGGCGGCTCCTGTAAGAGGTCGACGGCGGTGAAGGAGAAAGAGACGAAACGGGAGAAAGAAGGGAAGAACGGGGCAAGGGTGAAGGGGCGAGGCGAGGCGGTAAGGTAATCGGTATATACACATATATAGAGAAAGAGAGATAGAAGCGGGACAGAGAGCCGCGAAAACAGAGAGGCGAGGCGAGGCGATCGCGCGCGGTTGGAGAGTGAACAAAAGGGAATAGATACGTTACCGCGGCGATCGAGCAAGGCGAGGCAAGCACGGCTGGACTCGCTGCGGAATGGCGTGGGGCTACTGGAGCGCGACCACCGTCAGCGACCGGGGTCGGTCACCTCGCCGCGAGAAGGACAAACAGCATCAGAGCCTGCATCAGCATCAGCCGCCGTCGCAGCAGCAGCAGCAGCAGGCGCAGCAACAAATGCACCAGACAGAGCTGTCCGCGCAGAGCACTTACGCCAGCGTGCAGGAGCGAGAGCTCAGCGTGACCGGGCCCGGCATCGGGGTCGCGACGGAGGAACCACCCTGCAGCATGATGATCCAGGGTGGTTCCTTCTATTCGTACTCGGCGGCGACAGCGGCCGCCGCGGCCGCCGCCGTGAGCCGGCGTATCTCGACCGTCGTCGAGGGTAGCGGCGGCGGCGGCGGCCCGTCCTCCATCACCTCTACCGGCATCCAGGTGTTGCCGCGGGAGCGCCACGTGAAACCCGGCACCAGCACGCATCCGCCGTCGCCGGGCAGCGGCGACTCGGCCGAGTACGAGCAGCCGCTCATCGGTCAACTGCGCTCCGCCGACATCTCGCCGCCCCCCATCCTCATCGGTAGTCCGCCGCATCACCATCAATATTATCATCACCTCCATCACGACGACATTTTCGCGCAGCCCGGCACCTCGTCCAGGGCGACGAAGCTAGTCCAGTGCCCGCCGGACGCCGTCGAGGGTATGGACGAGCTGTCCGAGGCTGAACTTGAGGAAGTCGCGGCGAACGCCGAGCTGATCTACGGCATCGGGCCCACCGCGACGTGCCGGGTACACGGGCCGTGCAGCCAGCAGCCGCTGCCGCTGTCGTTGCCGCCGGAGTCCGCGCTCTCGATGACGTCGCTGCTCGACGTTGAGCCCGCGGGCCCGTCGCAGTTCCAGTTCAACGAGATCACCTGGGGTAGGTGCAACCGTGGGGAGGATACGCGTTTGAGGAGGAAGAGCACGTCTCTGGCGCGCGACCAGCTTTGCCCTCCTCCTCCTCTTCCTTCTCCTCCACCTTCTCTTCCCCCTCGTGTTTCTTTGATGCAGCCCGTGATCTAGGTCAAAGTCTACCCGCCTGTCTACCGCTCGCCAAGATAATACTCGGCCACTCGGTTCTTGTGAGGGTGCGATTGCGTCCGGTGCATCTCGCTCGATGCGCCGGACGCGACGCCCAGAAAAACGCGTGTCTTTCGGCCGCCGCGCCGCATGATTCGCGGGTCTTCTCTCGGCCGCCCTCCTTTCGGCCGGCTTTGGCGTTTGTTGACGGAAATCGTCGTGCCCGCGAGAGAGACGTTTAGCGCATTGCAGTAATATAAAACTCTAAGTCGGTCACGTGAATTAATTATCGCGGCTTTGTCCTCGCTAAAAGTAAGGGTTGTGGTTGGTAATAGTTGCTGTCGAGTTGTCGCTCGGTTTAGTGCATCTTTTTTTTCCTTGTCGGGTATGATGGATGGAGAGAAACTTTTTTCCACGCTATATCAAATTTATTCCGCTTACACATACCGCGCTTTATCCGATCGCATTTTAATTGATGACATAATTCACATTTTCCACCTTTCGCATTAATTTCGCAGAATAATCGTAATAAATGTAGTCGGCAAGGCATCCATCGGCTCTCCAAAAACGCGGCCGTATTTTTTTTTATCTATAAACGTATTATGCATCTCGTCGTTGTTGTTTTATGATGAGTTCACTCTTTGCGGCAGGTTAAGCGACAAAGGCGATTATCATCGGCGTTTGCTTTGACGATAAATTTCATCTCTTTCTTTTCTAGCTCGCACAATCGAGGGCAACGAATGCATCGTTGTCCAGTATATTTAATTTAGAGCGTGAATTAGAACTCGGCCGCGTATCGACGCCCATCAGCTCACACACGGCGATCCAGTTACGTGGAGGGTTCGAAGTTTCAAGTACGATCTTCGGTGTTGCCTTCCCTATAGCGCGTATATGCGCCGGTGCACTTATGCACTTACCATTATAGATCCATGCTTCTAGGATACCACGCATCGTCGTCGTCGTCGTCGTCGTCGTCGTGGTCGTAGTACGTGCACCCCGCATACAGCTCGTTGCACGTATTCCCCCACGTTAGGGGTGAGTGTACATCGCATCGTCTTTATCGCCCGTGTCATCGATCCCCCTCCGCGATAATTAGTCCATGAATATTTCAAGGAATTGCGCTCACCTCTCGCGCCGTTGTGCACCTCGTTCCGGCATCGTCGATACGTGTCCGCGGTGAGAGCCGCGGTTCTCTCTCTCTCTCTCTCTTCCGTAACAAACGATTTGATTACATATATTGTATCAACGGGAGAGCATCGATGGCCTCGTTAGCGGACCCGCGATCGTATGACACGCGTCGTATCCACGCAGTTGTCGCGACTGCACCTCGTCTCGTATTCATGGGATAGAGATTCTACAAAGAGTCATTTTAGCAAGACGAGCTATTAATCCAGCCGATAGATACCCTGTCAAATTTAGTATTTAATAACGGATTTAATTTTCATAATATAGACATTATAATTTTTAATGGTTTAATTGGGACGTAATAGACTGATTATAAATTGATTTAAATCTCCGTTCTAAATAAATAAATACATCCGTTCCGCCCGTATAAATCTACATTATTCATTTATACATTTATTTGACCTGTGCACTTCAAATAGACGGGATCGATTTAAATTTATTTAGTCTCTTTTTGATAAATCTATTAACGAATTCGTGGTATTGATGTTCCATAGGTCTATTGTTCGTCAACCTACATCCATTGAGTATCGTTCGAGCGGAGGATCTATTCTGAAGGTCTGCACGATCGGCGCATTTTGCCTGTGTGATCGAGGCATGTGTCTCCGGATAAAAAAAAAACCTTTTGTCCGCTCTCTCGTTGTGACCTTCGGCAACGGTTTTTCGGCCTCTTACCTTCGGCCATTCCAGTCTTTCTCTCAAATCTCGTCGCGAACCGCGATACATCAGCTGACTTAGCCGCCTAGGGTGGCTGGGTGGCCGCTTTAAAAGCGTTAAAGCGAATAATGCGGAACAATTTACGGCTTTAATTGTATTCCATTCATTAGCTGCGCCAACTTTCATTTCTTTCCTAGATTCTGTGTTTCATAAAGCCATTACTCTGCCCAACGACACGCGACGCAATATACTTAATTGTATATTTAATCATCCTTCTGCTGTACGTTATTGGGATTGTTCTGATAAAGGGCTTGTGTCTTCACTCGTCCTTCGCTAATTAGAATTTATACGGCGTTTGTGTGACTGCTCCTGAGGCGGGGGATTAAGCCGTCGCGAGTAACGAGATTAAAAACGTCCGCGGGAAAACGTCCCAGGACCTTCGGCTCTCGGCCGGAAGGTTTTCCACGCGCGCGCGCGCGTGCGCGCGGCTTGGTCGACTTCGCGGTTTTATCGGCGCAAACTTGCAAGGAAATTTAATCGCAAAACGCGCCGTCTCGCTCGCGATAAAGTGATAACGCGGCGCTCGATGGCACGGATAGAATTCAGTGTTACTCGTTATCTGACCGTAACCGGAGCGATACCGAGTAGGACACACGGCAGCCCAGTACGCACAGTATGTTGGACAACGAGCAGCGAATCTCGATCGGGTTCCGGTACTCGAATTGCTTCCCGTGTAAGTTCACGCATTCGACCCTATGTCGAGATCCCCGACGTAATCCACCTAGACGGGACGAAGGCGGGAGTGGCGTCGATCGACGACTCGACGTCTCGTCGGCGAATTAAATACGCAGTCTTAAATCATTGATCGCTTTGATATTAAGAAGTATGATTTCGCAGAATTTCTTCCTTCATGATATTTCTGGCTCAGCTTCGCTATTAATTATTAACGTAGCTCTATTCAGACCACCTCTCAGATATCGTGTGTCCATAATCCATTAATCTTGCGGGACTTTTTTTTTAAATTTAATCTCTTTTCATCAAATGTATGACGGGACGACACAGGAAATGGGAATTACTGTTTAACCGGACACGATATAGAAAATTCGCACAGATTCATTTCCATCGTATCTCTCGAAATTTCGTTTCGACGAAACCCGGGGAGAGGAAATGTCACGTTTTGTCAGCAAAACGAACGTGAATTCTTTCTGTTCTGTTACAGTTTTTCCGAACGTGCCGCCCGCCCCCGGGATGCCGTGCCAGGGAGAAGACAGTGAGTGTTTACTGTTCATTGGAAACGTCTCAGCCATCTTCGCCGAGTCGCGAAGCTTCTCGCTTGCGCTCGATATATAGCATATTAGCGTACTAGCCAGCGAGTTCTAATTAACCGTCCGGTGGAAAGAAACGATTAGCGCGCGATAATAGACAGACACACGTATGCGTAACTCCGTTACGTGCGGAAGCTGAAGAGCCGTAGAAGAAACATCCATTTCTCGCTCTCGACACCCCGCTCTCCACCAAAGCTCTCCCTTCGATACGTTTTTCAATCACAATCTTCATCGACATCAACGCCTGCGTTACACATCGAAAAAACTCCCAAGGCTTCTGATTCTCCGGTACAGTTACAAAAGATTGAACTTATAAATTGATTTTTTTGCGAATCACGATTTATATTCGATAAAGGACTCAAAAGATATGTCTTTTTTATTTGTGAATTAATGGATAAACTTTGATCAGTTGTAAAATTTATTTTTGCTGGAAATATAGAAAATACGTCAAAATTAAATTACATTATGATATTAAAAAATAATTGAATTAATTTTAGATTAATTTTGGATTACTTTTTAATGGAAGATAAGAAGGAAAAGAAATTGCGCCATTTATGAATATTGCTTATTTAATGTAGCCATGTAGCTGTAGCGAGGAACCAGAAACCTTAAGACACACTTCGTTCCTCACAATGTACAGTCGCTCGATAATCGTCGAATGGCTACCAGCGATTCTATCGATGTCACGACAATCTGAAGAAACCTGGAAATCACCGCGTCAGAATGACTAGAACAAGCTTTTGCTTTGAGTCGCATGACTCAAGAGTGGGAATAGTCCTCGCCGATTCTTTCTCAGGTCCCTGGCATCCGAAGTCGATATTCGGCGGTCACTCGTGGATAAAGCATGAATCCAATCCGATCAATCGTAACTCTTTTCCGAATCCTTTAGAGTAGTAAGAACAAACTTACCATAATTTCGGAGCGCGTTTTCACCGTCGACACAGCATGAGACACATTTCGCACGAAATATTGTTGTTTCCCGTTCGCATCGACTCGCTTCGTTCGTTCCCGGCGAAGCCGGCACGTCGTTCGATAACGCAATCGGTCGCGACCGGACGAAAGGAGAGAGGATGGTGGCGTGAAATCAATTTGCGAAGTTACTCGACGATACTTCGACGACGAAACCTTATTATCAAAATAAAATTCCTGAACACACATACTGAAATCGAAGACTTTATATGGATAATATAAGCCTGCTATTACTCGTGTTACGAGATATTATGTAAGCGTCTTTATAAAGCGCAGAGAAAATATTTATCTCCGAAACTTGAAGCTGTATTTAGAGAGAACGGTTAAAGTTTTATTGTTTTTCTTGGTAATCAGTCATAGGTAGATCAGTCATAAAATAATTCAATTAATTACTATGGAGATTAATATTAGTAGTTCAATTAATAATTGATTAGATGATGCTAAGGCTAATTGAATTTGCATTATATAATGAGGTTTCATCGTCGTTTCGGTACGGAATGGATGGATCGCGGAAGTCGATCGCGGCGAATTCGATCGATCAAGTTGGTGCTTTCCATCATTTATGACATTTATGTTATTTCATTTTCCGAAGGAAGCATCTACAGACGTGGCGCTCGTAGATGGAGGAAGCTGTACCGAGTGAATGGCCATATTTTTCAGGCGAAACGATTTAACCGGGTAAGCATCATTCCATGTAATTATCATTGCACAATCTTTACTTTATTCATCGCCCCTGTTTCTCCCCTTCGCCTCGTTCACCTCCTTCATGCACAATCTTTGCGAAAGTAGATCTGTCGCAGGTGTGACGCGGCCGGCGAAACCGACGTTGTGTGCAGAGCTCTCTCATAGAGCACTTCCAACAGTCTAAAACTTGCTGGCTAGTGACTTCGTCGTCGACGAAGGGAACAGAAGGGAGCATCGCTCTGTCTTTTCTCTCTCTCTCTCTCTCTTTTTCTTACTATGTTGCTGGAAATGCAAAGTTGCCATCCTTACAAGACTGTGCTCACGTACGAACTCTCTCGATCTTGCTTCGCGCGTAATCTACCTGTTTTGTTCATCCCCTTCCTTTCTCCAGTATACTTTACTTTGTCCGAGCGCTTTTGGAGGAGCACTCGCTGCGTCTAAGACCGGATACTTAAACATAATTATCATTCGTTTCGACTCAGACTTCGGTCCTAGGACGTTTTAAAACCGTAGCATTGCGTGCGTTATCGCTGCGTCGGTTTGACTTGCAGAAGGCATCCTGCGCGTTCTGCCAGGATCGGATCTGGGGCCTCGGGCGGCAGGGATTCAAGTGCATCCAATGCAAACTACTCGTGCACAAAAAATGCCACAAGGTGGTACGCATGCCATGCCTGAGTCTGCAGCAGCAGCAACAGCAACAGCAGGGCGCAGAGTCGCAGACAATCGACAGAAACGGCGACCAACAGCTTGATCCGTATCCGTGCGTCCCAACGACTCATCTCGAGGATGAGATCACGGCATCACCGATCATCGAGGAGCATTCGCGCGATCGTAAGATAACTTCAATATATTGATTACACGTTGTTCAATATTTTTTTATAGCCAATGATAAATTACAATTTTCTGCAAAGATATTGTTGCAATAAGATTAATATTGAGTGCAAGGACATAATTAATTCATACTACTCTGCGTATTAAATAATATATTTTACGTATTTTTTAGTAAATATACTCAAAGGCGCATTTTTTTTATATTTGATTTATATTTATATTAGAAGACATCTTTTTAACTATTAATTTTTCTATACTACTGTATTTTCTTTACGCTATTAATGTACTTTTCATACATTTACGATTTCATAGGAATCAGACATGAGGAAGGGGAAGAACTGCCTTTGGATACATTGAACGAGGGCGATATTTCGAACGATATGCAACGGCAGTACTCATTAAACGACTTCGAGCTGATCAGGGTGATCGGTCGTGGTTCCTACGCGAAGGTCTTGATGGTGGAGCTGAAGCGTACCAAGAGGATTTACGCCATGAAGGTAATCAAGAAGTCTCTGGTGACAGACGATGAGGACATCGATTGGGTGCAGACCGAGAAACACGTATTCGAGACAGCTTCAAATCATCCCTTTTTGGTGGGCCTGCACTCCTGCTTCCAGACGCCTTCGCGTCTGTTCTTCGTAATCGAATTCGTGCGTGGTGGCGATCTCATGTTCCATATGCAAAGACAGCGCCGTCTTCCCGAAGATCACGCGCGGTTTTACGTGGCTGAGATCAGTCTGGCATTAAACTTCCTACATGAAAAGGGTAAAACAATCTCCTTCTTTTTTCTGAACAAATTGGTAAGGGATGGAACGTTTAATTGAGTTCGATAATCGTTCACTTTCAGGTATTATATATAGAGATTTGAAACTGGACAACGTACTACTTGATCACGAAGGACATGTTAAGCTTACGGATTATGGAATGTGTAAAGAGGGCATTCGGGAAGGCGACAACACCGGCACCTTCTGCGGCACTCCCAATTACATTGCTCCCGAGATTCTACGTGGCGAGGAATACAGTTTCTCAGTAGATTGGTGGGCTCTGGGAGTTCTACTGTATGAAATGTTGGCAGGCCGTAGTCCCTTCGACCTTACTGGTGCGGCCGAGGACCCAGACAAGAACACCGAGGATTTCCTATTTCAAGTTATTCTGGAGAAGACCATACGTATACCGCGATCCTTATCTGTTAAGGCTGCGTCTGTCCTTAAAGGATTCCTTTGCAAGGATCCCGCGGAAAGATTGGGTTGCGGGAAGAGACCTTCTGGTTTCCTCGACATTGTCGCTCATCCCTTCTTTAAAGCGATCGATTGGGAAATGGTAAGTATCGTCTTGACGTAGATGCAAAAGTTTACATATTTAAAAAATACGAGTCTTGTTAACGATAGCTTTCTTTTAATTTCGCAGCTGGAGCAGAAACAAGTTACACCGCCTTACAAGCCACGTTTGGATTCCGATCGTGATCTCGCGAACTTCCCGCCTGAATTTACGGATGAGGAAGTGCGTTTGACTCCGGATGATCCGTAAGTTATCACAGAGTTCTCTAAATTTATGCGATTTAAAAATTTAAAGTTTAATTAATGAGAAAAGATTTGTATAAAGATTTACGTGAAGTTGCTTTACTTTATTGCATCGTCAAGTAAATTTTGAACGCAATGTTCATGCAAGAAAATTTGCAGGAAACAAATTGAGAAGATCGACCAGAGTGAATTCGATGGTTTTGAATATGTGAATCCTCTATTAATGTCACTGGAGGACTGCGTGTGACAAGAGCCACTTTTCATTGTGCAGCGTCACAATCAAGATCAGCAGCAGCAGCAGCAGCAGTATCAGCTGCAGCAGTGCTACATGTACGAGTTGCAAGACAGACTCGCGAAACTTCGTATCGATCCCCTATTCCCCGTTGTCGGCTCAAGCAATCAAGGTTATCACAATAACGTATTTCTAATGACGTACTCGGAGGAGAATGAGAACGACAATAATTATAACGAGCATCATCGGCTGTCGCCGCCCTTCCCCTTCCGATACGAAAGCCCGGTGCTCTCTCGTTCTAAACAACGCCGGTCTGCTTACAGCCCAGGCAATAATAACGCGATCGTTAGCAATTACGATGAGAACGACTATGATGATATGGAGGATGAGAATCCGCGGAAAGGTCTCCTGAAACAGATATTTTGCCTTCCATTAAATTAAAGCTCGATTTGAGCTTTCTTTTTTAAAGAGAATAAGGTTGCCTCCGATTCGATTACTCGATATGCATTTTTGTAGAAATAGCTCGAGACCTACAATATCGTCGGACATAAACGTCCCGTGTAGTTACATAGTATTAAAAAATACGGAAAATATTTAATTCAACTTACAATTAAATATATATAGTATATATATATATACATATATCTATCGTTAAGTTAACTGTTCTCTTTCACACATGGTGCTGCGAATAGACATGTTGATGGGTAACGTTACTTTCCGCAGCCTTTAGTTGGTAAACTAAAGGTGAAAACGTACCTGAGTGCTTTTGATCAATCTTGTAGGTACTTTTACAGTACCGTTTCTTTTGCGCAGCGGATTGATATTTCCAAAGTATTACGTGATTAATCATTCCTTTCTCTACTATAATTAAAAAAAAGGTCAGACATATTCTAACACTGTATGATCATTCCAAACAATATTATGAGTTTATAGATTAGTTACATTGTGGAAAAGTCATAATACCAAACGTAGTAATAGCCTCTTCTCTTTTTCGTTGAATAGCTCTTACATGTACATTTTCACTGAAACTCGCGAATAAAAGATAATGCAGATAGTAATTATATCGAGACATTGCTTTTATACGGACATTCCTATTAAATCGATAGTCGTTAACACTGGTCACTTTATGGATCATCGCGAAGGACCATCGCGTATTGTAGCAACAGTTGTGAATTTCAAGCATTTCTTTTCTCATCGAGAAATTGTACTCGCTGTTAGGATAATACGCAGTAACAATAATTTTCTATGGAAACGTGGTTTTTTACTTGTAGGAACGTATTCTGGAAATATTTTTTACTCCGCAACAGTTAGTTGTATTTACACGTTTATCTGATAGTGTACTCCTCGTCCAAGTGTGAGAGAGTATACCGATTTCCTATAGCGTGATTAGGGACAATTTTTATAGTTTTTCAAAGTAATGTCGAGTAAACTTACAACTGGACAGTTGGAGTACTAAAGACTAGTTTACCTTCTTATTGTTAAAGTTACATAGAGATCATCGTACACAGTATTCCCTGGATATTTATAAATTCTAATGAATAACACGTGCAGTATCCGCTCTAACTTTATTCTAAACTAATCGCAAACAAATTTCGAAGCGTATTACGTCACAAGTATTAACCGTAGAAGTATTGAGCCTGAGAGCCGCGTGGGACATTTTGCTAGATTAATATATGACCCGTAAAGAGTTAACGAGTAAGAGAATTGAATATTAAATAAAAGTCGTTTTACGTTACGACGAAACGCGGAATCAAATTATACGTAGACGAGAATTGTATGTATTAGAATTACTGCGCATGGTTTTTGTTCCGGTGATTATAACGACGACTGCTATTAGAAAACGTTAAAAGAGAAAGATTTTCACAGTGACAACTGCGAAGATCGATATGTGGAGTTATCGTAAATGTGAAAAGTATTTAATGTAGGGTTGTCACACGAAAAAGTATTAACCAGACGAAAAGTATATACCAAATTCACATCACGTAAAAGAGAGATGTAATTAAATCTCATAGTTTTCTCCGGCTTCTCTCGAACGTATGCGAGTACGGTAAAATAACTTAGTTCCGATATTAGAGCTATCTTAAAAAAAAAAACAATCGATGTTACACGATACTCTGCCCGACGTAAATGCGGTGACGTTTATATAAAGAAGTTTATATAAAGTATCGTGTAACTTGCGTTAGAGAGAATATGGTGCCAACACTCAACATCTTAATCGAATCGAACGGTACGCGTTGCAGAACTCACGTGATTTTTTTTAGCGACGAACCACACTATTTTATCTTTGTGTTCGTTATCTTTTTCCGTAAGAACGTGTGGTATACATAGAAAACTTCATACATGAATTCCTATTGTAACATAGCGAATGAATTGAATATCGTGTTATCCGCTGTAAACTTAATTGTTGCAAAGGCTGCTATTATTTTATATAAACTACGGCGATCCGCTATTTTTTATAGGGACGAGTCGGACGACGAATGCAGGGGAGATAACTATACAAGTATTCTAAATAAGGAGATCCTTAACGCTGATGGTATTGAACAGTATGTTACGGTATATGGTATGGCAATGATATATATATATATTCACATACTGTTAATTTTCGGCACCATATACTGCAGTTAATTATTTAAGAGCTGCTTAAGTATTGTTAAAAATCTCTATATCTTCTGGCGCGAATATTGTCTTTCCACGAACGGAGCACGGTGTTTTTCGCAACAATCGATATCGTTGGACAACGGAAGGATATGGAAAAACACAAGTGTTGTTGTATCACCTGTGATCAATTGATTGCGCGTCATACCGAGCTCCGTTTACAAGTTTAATATGCGGCACAGTGATGCAGAATCGCATGGAATATATATTCCATACTTTGTATCGTATTTTATATTCTTTTTAAACGACCATACAGAGCGAGTCTTAGGAAAGAGTACCGAGACTTGCATCGTTTAGACTTTATCATCATTGATTGTGAGACTTTCCACGTATTTGTATGCTTTTTGTTGTAGGAATTTATGAAATGTTATATAGCTATTTATATTCGGATACCCGAGGATCTCGGATACTTAGACGAATGAAGAGATACGTATTCAATAAAGAGATATACGCGTATTATATATATATATATATACATTTAAGTTAGAGCTACTCAAATTGAATCCAATATGTCGTCGAGAGAGAAGTTATGCGGATTTTCTGCACATCCGAGCCTCGGATATCCCAAATACGTTCCGAAAGTACGGGGAAGGAATCAGATCCACGCGAGCAGATATTGTATGAAATATAAATTTAGGAGAGTAGTATAAGAGAGTCAATCATCTTCGTACTTCCTGGTATGTGCGATCTTTTTATATATCATGCGCGTGTGCATGAAAGAAGGAAGAAAAAAAGAATCAGGCGAACGTTTTATGAGTAAGAATTTATTACCGATTAACGTCAGATTTATTGGGTGATACATTCTTTCAGATCTAATTTTTACAGACTTTCCAGGAATTGAGAGTCTTGCTTTCCATTTTGTTCTTCTTTGCCGTTTATCAATTTAAATAATGGATTTGAATATATACACATTGGAATTCTAAGATAATGATAAAATTTTTCTGTAGTACTGCATAGCGTGATTTTCGGATTCTTATCCTAATCTTTCTTTGATATAACTTTATAATTTCTCATTATGCAATATAACGTAAAAATGACAGCTTCCTTTATCGTTCTCTTGATTATTTTCGTAGAACGTACCGCTATGCGTACTTAACGTGTATATAATATATTTATGCATGTACATAGTGTCAAAAAAATACAGGTACGTGTACTGATATAATATAACAGAAAAGTTTACGAGAAAATATATATATATCGGAGCTGTAGGTATTTGTAATATATTAATTAACTATGAAAACCGACAGTGACATTTATAGTACAATAATTTCGAACACGCATCACTCCTAATGCTCAGTTAGTCTATCGTATGATTATGTGAATTTATAGTGAACGTAATCTATACGATCTGCCTTCTTTCTAATAAATCTTCCATATTCACGTTTCTTATCTTTGCTTTACGTACTTTGCTCCGGATTAATTAATTCACATTCGATTGCAATACACGTGTTCTATATTTATATTGCAAGTACAATATTGCTTGATCGTATTTTATGGACGTAACTTCATTGAAAGAAAATATTTTAACGTATATACATATATATATGTATTATCTTCGCTGAAGAATATATTAAAATTCTATACATAATTCTAACGTATTATTTCTGCTTGTAACTCGGCGATATTGAGACTGTTTTTATTTCAATGTTGAAAAGAACGATACAGTAAGATGATTATTATAATTAAAATTATATATATATAATATTTATAGAGATAAAATTGACGAGTGGTTGCATTTAATTGTTATAGAGTACAAGATATCAAAAAGCAGAAGGGACGCTTATACTTTAGGATTTGTTACACGATCTAAATGAGAATATAAATTAACAAGGTGCATTCTGTCCTCGCAGACAGGCCAGGGAGAAATGTCTCAACGGAGTGGGCGGACATATTAATTAAGTGTGTCTCGTTTCGCAGAATTAACGAGAATCGATTGTACGCGTGCCTTCCCTCGTCCACGACGACAAAGTGCCGCGCGTATGTTATCGACGTATTAACGATGGCCTCATAATTATTACTGAGTAATTGCCGAGTATATTTAAAATTGTATACGTTATTATACATATATATTGCCGTTGATAGTATTTTTATAAGGCTTGACTTGCGTTTTCCGGACGGGAATATTATATTGCTTCTCAAATGCATTCTGTGTGCATCATGACGGGCTACCTCCCCCATGACTGTAGCCACGATTATATCTCCGTGGATCCACGAGGATATGTGATTCTGTTCCTTTAAAGTGTTATGAATAAAACCAATCCCTATGTGCAAAGGAATTAATCAGTTACCTTTCGCTCCACCACAAAAACGCGACTTTGCTTTGCTTGCTTTTCGTGCATAAAAAAGTATAATTCTTTTTATCAAGGAGACTTCTATTCTTCGTTTTTTTTTTTTAACGTAATATCTTTTACCTTTTATATATCGATGATTTATATTTCTGTTTCACTTGCACTTTTTAAGAGCGATATCTGTTAAAAGAATTTATTAGCAAGATAGAAGATGCTATAAAAAACAGGTACATCTAAAAGATTCCAAAAACTGCTTTGTACGAAAGTAATTCACTTTTTTTTTTCAATCGAAGATGTCAATTTCGTGTGGTGGTGGAGAAGAGGTAAACGTTAGTTTTAATTCTATTGTATCTATTGAGATATGTAGCCTTGACGTTTGCAAACTCTATATCGTGAAATTAATCTCGTTAAAATAAAAATGTCAAATTATAATTGTTGCGACACTTGAGGCGACACGACCTCAGAGGAATTGTATTGCCGAACCGGATAAACGATTACTCGATTATATCGGTACATTTTATAGTTATTACGGATAATGTTATCGGAGATTTATGTGTTGTCGAATTTTTATAGAAACTAAATTGTAATCAAGTGTGTTTTTATTGCGAAAGATAGATATATCGTTTTAGGTGAACCTCGAGTGGCCAACACATGAGCTCAAGTATCGATTATGGTTTATGGCGCAATTTTTCATCGGCATACAATCATGCAGGCGTAACGATGCGCGTGCCTCGACGCGGTGAAGTTCTGTTTATTCGCCTGTTGTGATAAATGGGGCTTCGCCACACGATCGTAGGCGATTCATAAATTTTCATACGAATCACGCGGGAAGCTTCCCGATCTATCCATCCGATCTATTCTAACATAAACTAATACATATCATGCGACATACAACTATGTACATTATTATTACATCTACATTATACAGGGCCGGTTCTGCGAGCGATTTTTCAGTGGGACTAATTCATTCTTTCCATTCCAATCCAAATATCATGGGATTAAAATAAGAAGGGACAGATATTGAAGCACATTTTCGATTCCAATTTTATTTCGATTCCAAATTTATTTAATTTAATAAAGTATAAAGTATCTCAGAGCGATTTTTAGTTATCCAAAGTTATCATCTCGTATTTCATCATGAAACTCGCAAACTGGCTCTCGTTCATATTCCCGCATGGGTAACTTTAAGAAGTTATGCTAAACGATTAAAGTGTAAGTTAGCATAGGCTACATTATAACTAATTACGCGTGTATAGTGAAATAAATCAGGATCGATCGCTTAAAAGCATCAGCCGCGAGAAGCGAAAATTCTGTTCGGCGTCTATTTCTTTCAAGATAGACACGTTACGCTTCGATAGGACAATTTTGAAAGCGGATAAGATATCTTCCCGGGCGATGCTCAAGTGCGATTAAAGGAAAAGGAGTATAGGTTTGTAATTATACCGACGGCTGGATGCGATCGCGATGAATTGTAATCGCGAATGTAGTTTCTTACGCAGTGATCGCAAATTGATTACGATGGAGTTTGTATAAATGTACATAGGGCGACATTATAATCGAGATGAGAAGTAAAGCGAAGTCACTTTACGTTTAGTGACGCAGTGAACTTGATGCAACGCTGCATCTCTGACGCAGCGGGAGTGAAATTAACCAAGTACAGACTATATATGTAAACGCAACGTATTATATGATGATAATACTAATAATATAACAACAATAAATTAGATCGATTCATTACACGCACTTGTAACTTTCTGTCGGAAAAAAGTATCCTCTTTTTCTTAGCCCCAAAAAAGGTGATGTTATTGATATTGGGCCAGCAGTTGCAGAATAGGCCGTGACACCATTTGCACACAAGACTTTCCCCATATGAAATCGTAATGATTGAAGTTGGCGCTAACAGGAGTCTTGTAATGGAACACGAGGTTGTTGAGTCTCGCAGACAAGAGTTCTACGTCCTTAAATGAGAATTTAATCACAGAGAAAGGATGATTAATTTTAACAAATTTTAATATATAAATTTTAGAAAGAGAGAAATTTTAACATTTAAGACAAGTTTCTACAAAATTTGTGATTAAATCAAATTCAATTTTTATAAAAAGAACATTTTCTAATTTGGCATACCTTCGTAGTTGCTAGCCAATCGTTATCGCTACTGAAAAGAACGATCGGCGCTGTGATTCTATCCAATTGATAGTCCGGCGGCGTCGTTGAATTGTATATCCGAAGATTTTTATCGACGCTACCGTAGTCATATTGTCTAAAACATCCTGGAACATTTTTTAAAGTTTACTCAGATTATTCAGCATTATAATATATAATGTAGCACGTCTCAGCATATTTATATTTTTCTTCTCTTTGTACAATTATGTAATGATGTTACCTGGATTAATATATCCTTGACCATAATGCACGAGTTGTTTCCAAGAAGCTCCAGCGGGCACGTGGCCTATGACAACCGTCAGGTAGTCCTATCGCAACGAAGGAAGTTCGATCAATAACACGAAATAAAGAGGAAGAAGCGTTACAGTGAATCGAACACGTTATTTACTCTTACCGTGTTTAATTCCGCACGACTGAATCCGGTGATGAGAAACAGGATATTGCTGCAAATGACTTGCGTGGACGCCCCTCTCTGGCAGAATAGGTTCGACACGAATTTTCCCCATTCGGTCCGCGAGCGGAATTCTGGATAGCCGAAAGTCTCGCCGACCCACTGTAAAAGAAATAAAAAAGGGATCGTCGTCGCGAATTCAATCTCGCGATCGATCTCGAGGTCGATCGAATGCTTGTAATGAACGAATCTCTCACCACGCCGAAATACGTCAATTGGGCGAGTTTCTTGATCGGTCCGCGAATGTTACCGCTGTAGGCTGCGGGCGCCAGGCCGATCATCAGAATGATTTTCGAATTGTACTCGGGCTTTTCTGACGCCATCACGAAAAACTGCGTTGTACCTTCCGAATGACCGACATAATAGATCCTCTCGTGTCCCGTCGCGTGTAAAATGTAATCGATCATCGCGGGAAGATCGTAGATACCAAGTTCGTGGTAACTGAAATATGTACAAGTTTGCAGTAATCTTCCTTATTTAATTTTTTAAATCTTAAATTTGTATTGAAAAAAATATCTCTTAAAAAAGTATAAAAGTACAACTTGTGACTTTTACATTATTTAACATTATTTTCTAGTTCGATTAGATATCTAATATCAGATTTCTCACTTGAACTATAAAAGACAAAGCTTAAACCGTCACGAACATCGTAGCTATATATAGTGCAGCGAGTTTTATGTGATTAACATTCTTCTGGTATTCATGAATGAAATTGCCACCGGCTCCCTTTATAACATTTCAGCTACCTGAAATTCCAGAAAGCTCGATCTGTCAGCGACAACCAAGTGTGGTTTCTCGAGTAAACGTTGCCCCGGTTATTTCCAAGCCACACATCGTAACCCGCATCTGCTAATATGTACGCTAAAAGAAGACCTTTGTTTTATTACCTTATCGAGCGAATGTACGTCATAATAAGCTTTACACTGATACCAGTGCCATTTCTCACAGCTCTAAAACTAAGTGAGGATCCTACCTAAGGACTTTCCAGGACCCATGAGGACCCAATCGGCAGAACTACCTGCTAGACCGTGTACCAAGAGTATCGGTGTTCTTATCCTGAATTTCGCTTCCTCCTCGTCGTCCTGACCGCGCGGTATTCGATGCAGCTGAAGAGTGTAGCCGTCCTTCGCAACGATATCGTGGATCTCCAAGGGATATCCATATTTCGTCACCAGTTCCGGCTGTTCGACACACATAAAGGAATGTACGTTCATTTGTTCGAACGGCGAATTGTTGACATCAATTAAACTCCTCCGCTTTTACTTCGCTCGCGCATCAATTAGACAGTCAATAAGAATTTCAACAAGAGTGGGATTTCAGAAAACGATCGAGGAGATCCTCCAAGAGACGCGTCGCTCTCTTGAGCATTATTTACTCTCGTTATTTTCTTTTCTCCAAGAACGCATTTATAAATGCCAAGATATAAACGCGACGAAATAAGAAGAGAGGGTAATTGCGCAAGCTGTCTTTAACATTCAAGATCCATTCTTGCGGCGCGCTTCATTAATGTCACAACGATCATGCCTGCGCGAAGAAGGTCGTAAAGGAGCGACGCACTCACCGTCGTGAGCCCGATGTCGGGATTGTCGTCGGGCTTAACAAACGCGTTCGCCAGCGAGAAGCAGCAGCAGCTCAGGACGATCGTCGCGACGAAGATCCGGCGTCGTCGGTCCATCGTCGTCGGCGGCAACACAACGCGGCGCGGCGGCGTACGTCTAACAAAGAGCCGAAAATTTCCCTCACGTCGACATTTTATACGGTATCGCGGGCGCAACGTGCAGGAGATCCACGCCGCGCGATAACGCCGCGATGTCTGCTCGCTCGCTTCCATCCTCCGCATTTGCGACCCTCCTCGATCGAGGACGAGGAACCTCGAGGCCCTCACCCATTGGAGAATGGAAAGTGACTTCGCACGTTAAATTAGTGGACGGATGCGATTTTCCCGAGCTTCGCCAATCGCGCGGACGACGAATGTCTTCCAAGGTCGAGAGAGACTTCATGTCGAGAAGATGAGGCTTCGATTCCTTGAGAAAATTGCCGCAGATCGCCGGCTCGAAACGCTGAAATATATCAAACGATAAACGTCAAACCAGAAATGTGAAGATTAAACATTTAAAAACCAAAAAGTAAAAATGTCACGTCAGAAGATTATAAACATTTAAATGCCTTCAGATAATCTCATATATATTCGATAAGATTAGATCTTTTGAAACACCTGAAAAATTTATCCGAAGAGATTCGTGGAGCGTATATTTGATTTAACGTAACTGTCCTTGCGTTATTTGACTCTGGATCCTTTTATTTCAATCCTTTACCAAAGCCGCCAATAGAAGTGAGAAATAGGCCTGTTCGTTTTAACTGAACTTTTTACACAGTTCATCTTTCCTCTTTTTCTTTTCACATTGGAAAGAAAAAGAGAAAAGATGAACTGTACAAGAAGTTCAGCTAAAACAAACAGGCCATTGAGTTCCGTGAACCTGTAAAATGACGTTGCAAGTAAACTAGGATTAGGATGTGAAAAATGCAATAATAATTTAAAAATATAGGAATAACAAATATCACAACAATATAAAACGTTTTAGGTTAAAATATAAAATAAATATATTCTAATATGTATTATTCTATAATATATAATATAATATGTATCACGCTGTATCATTTTATTTCGTACAATGTGCTGAAATATCTCGGTATTTACGTAAACACGTCTCTCATTCCAAAACATTGCACAAGAGGTTAGGCGAGACCTGGAACACGTGTTCTCGATACCTTCGAAAAATCGTCGAAGTTAACAGGAGAACAGGAGTCGCCAGCTAGGAGGTCAGCCGACGATTGTCCGATTCGAAATTCCCGCCCGGGGGGGGGGGTGGCAATCGAACTGAAATGAGTCGCGAATTCAGATTTCAAGAGCTAAGTTCGCGATATTAGGAGCGCATGATACGCGGGAGATAAAATAGCGGAAAATTTGAATGGGATTTGATTTACATCTCGAACTTAACGCGGCAAAAAGAGAAAAAGTTCGCGAGCGCGCTTTAATGAGTAAAATTTATGTAATCGTAACGCGAAATTGTATAATTAGCAAGTCAATTTTAATTCCTCGTGAAAACTTCGATAGAAGAGTGAACAATTGTTATTAATTCAGAAGTTTAAACGAAGAATTAAATTGCCGATATCTTCTGATCAAATTTAAAAAACAAAAGGAACGTAATAATCGTCTCATTATTACTGCGAGATGATTTTAATAATAATTAACATAAAACCTAATTAACATAAAACCTAATAACATTAAACCTAAGTAACATAAAACCTAATTGAGTTTGGAATGTATAATAGAGTTAAACAAGAATCTTAATTAATAAGTAGAGTACTTATACGTTTACGCGAGCGTTACTTCTGATAGTAAGTAGTAGTAACTTACGCGGAGTAAATTATCGTAAGTTACTACAAAATCCCGTTTACGCGAAGGAATTATCGTAAGTTACTACAGAAGTAACGCTCGCGTAAACGTAGTATAAAAATAATTTGTTCTCAAAAGATAATATTAATATAAATATTTCAGTTTCGGTACGATCAAAGCATCAGAAGCGCGGAGGACATCCGCGGCCCTCGCCCGCCGCGTTAAATGGAGCATGCACGATTTTAATGCTCACGTTTTGAAGGTAAACACGCGGCAGTTCACCGAATCGGCGATCTCCTTATCTTCGGCGTGCGTATTACGAAAGCGGCTGTTCACAACTAGGCCGTTGTGACGCGACGCAAGGTCGATTTCGTCAGTCCCCCGCGACTCTAATAACCTCGCGGAAGAAATTGGGTGGAAATAAGAGATTTTACACCGCGCGCGGCTCTTTTCTTTTACCGCTCCGATAAAAGGGGAGTCCGCGGTGTCCCCGGGCTAATCTCGGCGATTGAGCAAATGTAAAATCCGCGATGTCATCGCGCAAATCCCTGTCTCTCTATATGATTTGTCAATCGTCCGACAAAAAGCCGTCGAATAATTGCGCGTATTACTTAAATTATTGTAATAAAATATATTTCTCGTTGCGAGATATATGATAAAATATTCATAATAAATTTAGAGTCATATAACTTATTAGAGTAAGAAAAAATTGGTAAAAACAATTACTCAACTTTTTCAGTCTCATGTTTTAGATTTATGAAAAATTCTGAAAAAATGAGTAAAATTTTTCAGTAATAAATGATGGATGAGGAATTTCAGTAACTATGTATAAAAATTTCTGATAAATTGCGCGGATTTTCTCATATTTATTCAGATTTTTACGAAGATGCGTTGGCAGGAAAAATTTGAAATATTTCATTATTACTTTGTCTGAGTTATTTAAATATTTAATCTCTACATTTTCTTATCTGACTTTCTTTTTTAATTTTTCAGCGCTTTGAGCTGAAACTGGCGGAAATTTTCACAAAGAATTACAGCCCTTTGTAATAATAATAAGAATTAAAACTTAATCGGCGATTAGTTCAACCAGTAGAATAACTAGAAACAAAATTTCTAACTATATAATTTATCTCTGATTTTATCTTTCCTCTCGTGTCGAACAACGAAAAATTAAAAAGAACAGTCTAAAGCAATTAAGTTTTTAACTACACATAATTTGGATAAATTTTCTGATCAAATCTTATATTAAACAAGAAAAATTAATAAATCTATCCACATTAATATTTAATTAGTACTAATTATTACTTAATAATATCAAGTAATAACAGATATCTTGAAAGAAAACTAATTATTGCCGATTATATTAATCGAAGTCACCCTTATCCATGGATTCTCTGAAGAGGATCAATTAAATGCCTCCTAGTTCCTCGGTCTCGTCGCGAGATGGCCGTAGCCTCGGCGCAACGCGGAGCATTCGGGAGCGCAAAGTGCGAAACGCTGGTTATTTAAAAATGGCGAGGCCCTCGGTGTTGTTGTGCATTATCAGCGCGGCGAGATTAAAGAGCGTTGTTGAGTGTATACGCCCGCTGATATAAGCACCGTCGTCTCGCCGCGTCTCGTCGCTTCATCAGAAAGAATCATGGTTACCCCCGTTCTTATTTGCGTTACGTCGTTGGCCGTTGTGAGCCTGGGAATTGTTATGGGCTGGACCTGCATCCAGTGTTGTTGCCTCTACATTGTATTAACTTGTTCCTGTTTGCTTGTCGGCCCGTTAATCATGATACTGATCAACATAGCCCTGTCGCCCAAACACCAGACTGGTTCCGGCACCGTTAGAACTGTCGCGGAACTGGACGCCTTCCACGGCATGTTAATGGTACGGTGGCGCAAAGCCATAATGTATCGCTTTAACACTGTTTCTCATCGTTCGCTCCACTGATTGTCGACCTTTCAGAAAGGATACGAGCCCAAGTCGGCCAGCAGTAGGAAGCACACGCGTTACCCCGTTGTCTTCACTCGTCTGGTGGACGGCGCCCTGCAGAATCTCCTGGATTTGATTTTTCAGGACTTCGTCGGCTATTGGTTGAACGATCTGGCTTTCGGCTCGGAACAGCTGATAGATAATATGAAGCAGGATGTGTGGGGCGCGATACAGAGCCTGCACGATCGCTTGTCGCGCGTCGATCACACTAAATTGGTGGTCTGCAATATAGTGAATAAGCTCACCTTTCACTTCGAGAAGATCAGGATAGCTCAAGCAGCTTCGTAAGCGTCTCTTTTCAATGGCCGGTGTTTCGAGGAACAGGGCGAGAAGCAACCTGATTTATTTGTCGCATTTAGGTCGGAGGGAGAAGACCCCGTATTTATTTTGTCGGCACATTTGATGTCGCCCGTCGCCGAGCTGGAATATTTAAGGAAGATCAGCGAGCTTTGCATCCTGTTTTTGTTACCACGCAGTTACTCCCTTTCTCCAGTAAAGTTTCTCTTAAGAGAAATTCTCACGTGCAAAAGTAAACAGATTGTCATTTCTTCACGGAGATACGTGATTTTAATTAAACAACTTTACTTACATATTTCTCTTATTTATTTCAGTCTTAAAACCGGCAATAGATTTAATCACGGATCCCGATTACATCAATCAGAAGATCCTGACGTACATCGATCAACAGCAGCTCGCCGAAGCGATGCACAGGAAAACGTACGAATACGCGGAATCATTCGAGGATTTTATTCGTATGGTCAAGAGCACCAGGGACCTAGAGGTTCTCAGACATATCAGATATAATATCGTTACCGAGATTATGCAAGCCACCACGGTGCAAAACGTGAAACGAGCCCAAGGTTTGGATCTTGAAAATAACGCGCTCGGCAACTCCGATGCCATTCGCGCGAGAAAATTGAAGAGGTACATCAGCCAACTGACATACGCTAAAAATACGTGCGAGTGTCACATGCAGACGTTGGGATGGGATGGATATCCTCGCCAGGTTGCGTAGAAAAAATAAACTATCCTTCACGCGAATTACGCGTGACGCGACAATACTTCGTAATCATATCTTTCAGGATACAGAGATCTGCGACGCTGCTGAGATCATGGAAGGCAGGATACTTCCGTTGCAAGCGTGTCTGGATAACGTGACCGGTCGACGATATCTGTCTCAGTTTCTGGAACAGGTCGCTAGTCAAGGATTGATCGGTTATTGGGCGGCGGTACAAGAATTACGCGGCGCAGAACGATCCAGTTGGCATCAATTGGGAGCCGAGATCTTTTACACTTACATCCGATCACCCACCGCCGAGATCAAGGTGGATAAAAACGTACGAAAGCGGATGGAGGCCTTTTTGCTGGGCGATACGGGACCCAGTGTATTTTACGAGGTCCAAGACGACGTCGTTAGGACGCTTCAGGAAAAGTATTATTCGTCGTTTCTCGTCAGCGAGCAATATAAAACCATGCAGGAGGCATTACTCAATGAAAGAGCGGAAGGTCAGTATACATTAAATTAGATTTTATTTAGCGAAAAATTATTTTAATTTTCACTGGGTATTGAATAATTCAGAAACGTGATTTTATATATTGCGAACGATATATTTGTAAATTTTTGTGGTGCAGGTTTAGTTGAAGACCGCGAGATCGTTGACGGCACATTGTCAGAATCCTCGACCTTGCTCGTCGGTGAACGATCAAATTACGCTCGTAGCAAACTGGATCAACTGCACGAAAAATTGAACAATAAGATGCAGGCATTGCAGGCGCTTAAATCCTCTCTCAAGCCCGAAAGCAAAGTGCTCAGTATATTGGCGAAAGAGGTCGAATGGCTGCAAGGTGAAAAGCGACAGTTGGAGGCGCATTTAAATCATACGGAAATGTGGGCCGAACATCTAGGTCATTGGAGAGCCGATGTGCAGAGCGCAGAGGTAACATGGTGTGAAATTTTTCCTCTACATATAATTTACAGAAGGGTTTCCTTATGATTTTCTTATTGAATAGATGCCCGATAACGGGGATCCTCCGCAATTTGTACTGGTTGTCCACATGGCAGAGGATGACGACAATGATGAAAGCATATCCAGCGGATGGGTGGTGTTGAGAAAACTGCAGGACTTTCAAGATCTTCACAGGAAATTACGTCAGTTGTGTTCTAACGTTAAAAGCCTGGACTTACCGTCGCAGCCTTTGAAGTTTTTCGGAAAATCCGACAAGAGCACTCTCGACAAAGCCAAGATGCAGATTCAAAAATATTTAAATGTATGTCCTTTGAATGTGAATCTGGATTGTTTTATTAACGCTCTGTTCACCTTATCTATCAATTCTTACAGTTTGTCTTGGAGGACGAGAGGCTTAATCAAAGTGAGGCGTTGTATGCCTTTCTCAGTCCAAGCTCGGAGCACCTTAAAGCCGTGGTGGCACCATGTCCCAAGAAATCTCGCTTTTCTTTGTCCACGTTATTCAAAACGTACGCGTCACTAATTTCGTCGCATAACCATTGATCCATTTGCTGACTCTGTAAATCTCCATGACAGATCTGTCGGTAGCAACGAGGTACGCGACAAAGAAGATGAAGAGGATTATTCGTTGTTATTGGACGACAGCGAGACTGGCCGTACCGGCACAGACACCTATCTGAATGCCACCAAGGATGCGATCGCGGAACCGTTGTACACGCTTCTCGGAGAAGTTTTCGATTTAAGAGGAGTATTTCGTTGGCTTAGACGGTCTCTCATCACCTTCGTACAAATTACTTACGGACGTACTATAAATAGGTAAAATATCGCGTGTGCAAAACTCTATTCGCCTTATAACATTTTTAGAATTTCTTTCTCTTTACTCTATTTTGTATAAATAGCTATCCATCTCAATTTTTTAATATTTTATAATTTAATAAGACGATAGAGATATTTTTAAAGATGAGATTAATATATCATTTGATTTGCAGACAAATCAGAGATACCGTTGCATGGGTGTTTTCTGAGCCAATGCTCCATTATTACATACAACTGTTTACGAGATCGTGGTGGCCGAACGGGCAGCTCGTGTCCGAGACAGTTCTTCGCACCGACGAGGAAAAGTTGAAGACGCGAGGCGAGGCACGCAGGCAATTTCTTAACAATGTACCTGAAGTATTGACGAATCTAGTGGGAGCGCAAAGTGCTCAACGTGGCGCGATTAAAGTTTTCGATTCCCTGCAGAACGTGAATCTGAATAAACAGCTATTTTACGTGAGTCAATCTACTTGTAATCGTTTCATTTCGAAGTGTATGTATGTGTGTGTGTATATAAAGATCTTTTTACACTTTTTTTTACTGATTCCTCTTTTTACAGGATATATTTGAAGTATTAATGTACGAAGTATTTCCAGAACTGCAGCATAAACAATGTTCCTTAGCGAAATAAAGTATCAATGTGATATACAATGAATGCGCAACCCCGTTTTTCATTCCTTTTAGCGGATCTTACACTACGTAATTTCCAAACGCAATGAAATTATAGATCCAAAAGTAAATAGCGATTGCGAATGTATGGCCAACATTGAGAAAGATACGTACATACGTACGTGCTTCTAACGCGGATAACATACAATAAACTACACGCTTTATTAACAAACATTCCTAAATATATCATTTTTTTTACAATCGAAAGGTTTTTGCGAGAAACATAACAAATGGGTACATATCATAGTGCACATCTCGCAAAATTAGTTCGAATATTGCCTATATCACATAATATTTACGACAAACGAGTAATAACTTAAAGCACTTTATAGTTACCGCAAAATTGATACGAATATATCGCTGTATTTATAAAAATGCTATTAAAATCTATTTGAACGCGATAATATTCATGTAATTGGATGAAAGTCAAAGTACTAACAAGTTAACGTTATTAGGGTAGAAATATTAACTCCATGCGTCTGTTTCGTTAACTTTAATCTTCATATAAGGATATAAAGTATAAACAATTGAGCGCACATAATTTGCAGTTTCAATATTACGATGTATCTCCTGTCGCTATAATACATGTTTGATAGATTCTAATAATACAGAAATATCGTATATAAACAATTTTCTTCGTGCAATAAGGAAATGTATATGTATAACAATATGAAGTACCTATATCTGTCGCTTTACGAAAAAACCATTACATATCCGAGAGAGGTAAACGTTTTGAAGTTTACTAATACTAAATACTTTGGCTGGATAAATGTAATATTTAAACAACATACGTAGATATATGTATATTATTTAAATAATAGACATATATATGTATTATTTAAGTATTTAATTAGTATACAACTAACAAGAGATGGATACAAAAGTAAAGTAATTAGAAATAAAGTAATGGACGTATATAAATCTTGATAAGGGCAATTATTTGTTTTATAAATATAACACCTTTATCATGCTAACATTTGGGTTCGCGCTTATGAATATCGATTTTACGGTAACTATAGCGATAAAGTACAAATTTTGTAAGTAGACATGTGCTACTGACATTCGAATTCGAGAAATATCCTCATACACTGGCGATACTGATAAACATAGGGCGAACAAGCGACAGAGATACGAATTAGATACATAAACATATCAATACAGACTTATAATTCTTTTACGATTAAAAATAGCGATCGTCACAATATTATTAGTAGTTAACATAGTCAAACGCAACGAGAATCGCAATTGATCGCGATTTCGCAGTCATATCTGAGGAAATACAAATGATCTATCTGCTTGTACTGTGCAATACTGCTAAATTTTTGGTAACGTGTTGACTAGATACAAGCAATTTTGAGGAAAGAGTATTCCCGAGTTATATAGGAACGGAGGAAGTAGTAGTAGTAGTATATATAGAAAACTTGATCTATATCCAGAGAATCGATCCATCGTTCGGTGATCTTTCTCTCTTTTTCTATCTGCTATGTAACTTTTTATAATGTACTTTCTTTAACAATACTTAAAGACCAATCTAAAAACGTTAAAATGCGGGAAACTGTAAATATGTTTATAAATGGTACTTAGCATAAGTAATGAATATGTTTTGTCTTTATACAGGGTTGCGTCTGTGTCCATTCGAATCACAGTATATCCCGATGGCAATAATATTCCGTTGACTAGGCGAACCTTGTTCTTGATCACTTTTGCTGAAGTATAAAGGAGACTGTGATACCCAGTAATTCTTTTTGATATACTTTTTTGATTATTTAAAAATTTACAATTTTTGAAAAGAACGCGTTTTAATTTTCTTCTTTATCGATCTATCTTCACTCAAAATTCATGTCTCTAGGGTCATCCTAAAAAATGACGAATGTTTGCTTCAATTAAATCAATTATATTCAAGAGATGTTTACTTCTTGGAATTCTTGTGTGAGCGTGAAATTTTAGACGTACACAATTGTGCAAAATTGCATTGCGCAATTATGTATGTCTAAAATTTCTTAGCTGCTAATCTACTTCACGAGTGGCTGTAATAATTATCTCCATCAAGCGAAAGCGATTTTTTAAATACGAAAAACGGGGATAATCTCGAACAATTTGTCGACAATAAACTTGAAATATGATTCTTGTGTCTTTCTAAAAATTGCTTTGTTGTAGATTCATCCGCCTTTCGATATATATTCCAAATGTGTGGATAAATTAAATCATTGTATTTAACGAATTTATAAAGTAAAAGTGGCAAATATTCTTTAAAGCATTCCAAGCAAACACAGTGCACTTGAGGGCACATTTTTATATATAATAAAAATGCTAGCTCATCGACAAATAACAAAATTTTATCTTCGCCTTTAATTAACTTCCCTTTATTACGGACTGTTTGAGTGAAAATAGATAGATAATGCATATTAAGTCCGAAGGCTGTTGCAGCACCAATTGTATTGTATTTAAAGCATAAAATATTTGAAATTGCTAGCTCGTATTTATCTAATTCAATGCAGCTTGGGTTTTCTCTGTTTTCGTTCTGCATTATGATAACCTACGAAAAAAAAGAAAAAAAATATAAGTATTACATTCAAAAGTACTAGTATGCCTTTTGAAATAAAGTTTTATAAACACTACTAATAGCTAAAATGACATAAAATTTCAGTGCATCTGAACTTTTTGGATACAAATTTTTTAAGAAATCAGAAAAAGGTATACTTAAAAATTAGAAGATGTAATCAGTAAAAAAAAATACTTACGAAATAGCCCAATAATGATTGTTTCTGGACGAAAATTAAATGATTGTACAGGACATGTACTTAGATTGTAAACAAGTAGCGACCGAAGCAATGTCATCAAGCAGCCAAACTTAACGACTTTAACGTCAGGAAGATAAACAGCATGTTCCAAGATATATGTCCCTAGGCGTAATAGTCTCCTCTATACGTCTAGAAAAAACTTATTTCTCCTCTTATTTTTACTTGGCAGTGAACTCGGGCCAATAATTTATATAATAACGGTGCGTTAATCCTTCGAACAATCTATCGAGCCACATCGGTAATCCATCTAAAAGGTTGTCCTGATATAAAATGTTACTTCCGCCCTGTAACATACGCAAAAATTGTTGTCAATGTGAGTTAGCTGCTAAAAATGAGGAACATTCCTAGCGTATTGTCATATACCTCGTCTTGAGATAGATCGGATTCGTTGGAACTATCAAAACCGATAAAAGCGCCTGCTTCCGGATCCTCAGGTCTTCGGGTAAGTTGTCTGGTCATCTTTTCTATACGCTATAATATAATACAATTGTTTGACTTCCAGATAAATGTCGCTTTAGCGTCAAGGTATTCGAATACACACCTTAGAACCTTTACCCTTAGCACATTCTGGATGTTTGGCATGGTACATGCAGAAATACTTTCGGTGTCCGTTTAATGACAGAACCGTGCCGACGCAGTTCTTGGCATTTATATTTAATTCCATTTCCTCGTGTAAAGCGAGAGATAATATTTCTTTGTACCAATCGAGACCCCTTTCTAATGACATATGTGCGAACATAAGCGTCTTATTCTTTCTGAGAATGAAAAACGATTTACAATGACGACTCTCCCTTTTTACGTACTTTGTTACATACATTATTAATTTTGATATGTAAAATTTCATATAATTATTATCATATGCAGCATAAAATACCAACTGAAATAGAAAATGCTAATAAACAGCGCATACCTATAAGGCCACACAGCTTTATGAAAAGCTGGTAATAACTTTAATCGGGTTTGGGCGTCAACCAGCAGAATGATGGTTCGACATCCTGGTTTTAAAAGTCGAATTAATCCGTTGTATGTCTGCGCGCGTAATTCGTGCAATCGTAGTTGCGGCTGTGGTGGAAGCGGCTTGCCCTTGCACTGGGCACGTTTAGCCTGGACACTTGCTTCTTCTAATTTACTAGATATAAAAAGCAGAACAAATTCATGTATAAACATTTTAACAAATTTATATAATGCGCAAGATATTTCTTCGCACCATCAATTTTATATGTATATAATTGATGTACATGCTTCGAGCGGCTAGTAATTATTTGTTACTTGGCAAAATTATTCGATGGTTTACTAGTGCTCGATCTTGAAATGAATTCATGCGATGATTCAAATAAGAAATCAGAAATGTATTATATTACTCCGTATTTTAATTATACTCACACTAGATACGACATTCCATACCCTGCAACTCCTATTAGCATGAGGGTCACTAGTACCGATATCAAAGGCAAAATTTGCTCTTTCGTCAGATTATCGGATATATAATCTACTGCTAATAATGCCCTTCCTATCAATCTGTCTACAGTACCCTGCAAAGGTATATTGAATTTAATAATATGGCATATTAATAATTTGCAGATCATAAAGGATATTATGATTACTATGGATACATGCCTGTGCGTGTTCATCTGCCAATTCTCCTACGACAGCAGCGTACGGTAAAGCTTCGGTGGCGCGTAACAGCCTTTGTATAGTTTTCTCTAAATGTCTACGCGTCTCATTCCATATACGATCGTCCTGAACGACCTCGACCCATCCGTGAGGAAGCCACTCGTACTTCAAGTGATTGGCATCTCGTCTCCATATAATGACGATATGTAATAAAGGCTCCAGTGGACTGCCTTCACCAGTCGATAGTGCTGATACAAACTCAGGTTGCGTATCTTTGAATACGTATGCGTATCTGACACGTTCCGTGCTGTAAATATTATTCAATAAAATATTTGAGAAACATACATAGACTAAAAACTATGTTATACTTAAACAAGCTAAATTATTGATATTTTATGTGATTGTATTGAAATAAAAATTTGCTATATAGACAATACCTATAAGAAGACTCTAATGCTGCTTGTCTAAATTTGTGCCTAGCCACGTCGTGCAGAGTGCTACTCTGCTGCGATATTAAAACGGCGCACAGTCGCTTCTGCGGCCTCAGCCATTCAGGCGGGCATATAGAATCCAACATAGCTTGATTTGAAAGTCTCGGTAATACGAGGAACTTGTTGTTAGCGATAACATTATGCATGGTTTCGCTGGAAATGTCCTTCATACTAACAGACGCCATAGGTTTCTCAGAATTCTCGTTGAAGAGCAGTAAGGTATCTAGTTCTCCAGAGATTTTGTATTTTGACGTTATGTTCTCAGTCTCCGGTATGCCAATCTATAAAATATATTAAAATTAATGATTAAGAAATAATTTAAGACTTAACACACACACATTGATTACAATATTACAAGTTATTTACCTGGACAAAGCCGAAAGCTACTCGATCTCTGTGGTAAAAAGACGTAAGCAAATATCGCAAGCGGATAAAGTCTCTCTTCTCAAATATCAAAGCGCGTATTCGATTATCCGTCCAGCCCGACAGGAAATTGTCTACGTTGGTATCACTAATAGTACTTATTAATTTATACGGTAGTCTATTTCGTACAAATTCTGCAAACAAATGGATTTGTCAGTCCCGAGACTTTGTAGACCGAGATAGTGAACAAGAGACAAAGCATATGACATCTTAAAACGTACCGACAACCTTCTGAATGCTAAACAGAGATTCTTTGAAGACACTAGTACGACCGTCCACGGTAACGACGAGACAGGGAACAGAATGAATACCGAGTCTTCTCGCCAAAGTGGGCTCCTTGTTGGCGTGCGCCGTAACCAAGCCGAGTCCCAACGGTTCCAACTCGTCGATCAATCGCCTCCAAGTAGACTCTGCTTGCAGACACATGAAGCACCAGTCGGAGTAAAACAAGATCAAATACGGCATACGGTAAGTCTTGGGTACTATCACGTTCTCGAACGATCTGCAATTTGCGAGGTATTCAATGCGACATTTGCAACGACAAGGTCATCGTTTCGCGCGAGAGGAATCGCATACCGATATGTGATGCTCATTTTATGGAACAGCGTAATGTCTCTCTTTTGATACTGGAACTTAAAATTGCCGGTAAACAATTCTTCCCATGGATCGAGAACATTGAAGTGACTGTCGTCTCTCCTTTGCCTGGAGATACTTTCCTCCGTGATTCCATGATAATCAAACTTCCTCCTTCTTTCCGGATCTGTCAAAAGCTGAACAATCGGACGCGACAGGTTAAAAATCTTTCCTCGTAACTGCTCCTTTTGCATTGCTTTGTACAAAATATAAGTTTACCTCGTAAGCTTTTGTTATTTCTACAAACTTATCCTCAGCCATCGGATGATCAGTTTTATCTGGATGCCTGAGAGAAAATTGCGTGACATTTATTCGTACAGAGATGTCTTTTATACTTATGTTAGAAAGGACAGGACTTTATACGAATTCTAGACACAGAGGTACGCCACTCACCATTCCTTGACGAGGTGCTTGTACGCCTTCCGGATGTCCTGCACCGTCGCGTGCCTCGACACGCCCAGTATCTTGTACGGATCACCCAGGGATTCGCTGGCGATCGCCGACGGTGTCGACTGGAGGACCGCGACGAGGCTCAGCAGCAGGAAGGCGTGTTTCATCAACGAGGCGACTCGCGCAACGTCGCCGCGGCTCTGCCGCTCGCCCGTCATCGAGGAATCAATCGATATCATCGTTTCGCGACGCAACGGCGGGGTCTCCTCGTGTGCGGGCACTGTGTGCGGAGCCTACCTCTCGCCGATTGTCACGGACGCGCGTGACGTTAACCGTTTCCCCTTTTACTCCTGGCTGCCGCTCGCGCTCACGCCGCGCTCGGGATCAGCGGACATACTGGGACATGCTTCTCGCGCGGACCGTCGCGTCGTCTACCTGTCGTCCTCGCGCGGACCGCGGGGCGTCACGTCGCTACCGATGCCGTCGACGGGGAAGCCTCTTCACATCAACACTCCCCGGGCTACGGCCGCCACCATGTTGCTGCGCCGGAGTGCGCCGGAGCGGACAGGCACAAGGCCTATCGAAGGCAATACATATGGCACTTGGCAGTGCTGTTAAATCGCGGGACCCCCCACCACTCGATGCGGAATGCCACTATTATTATTATACAACGCATTGCATTATTGCATATAATGCATATATTCGTGTAACCGAAGCCGAAGCTCGGCGAAGCGAGCGTTTCAATTTTTTATCTCAACTTTATGCGCTAGCTTTCATAAGGTATTTACTTTTTAGATCGCAAGATCCCCAAAGATCCCCCTCGGAGGTACAGGCGATTCACAAACGGCACGGAGCGCACGGAGCCGGCGAGTTCTCATGTAGCCTCCGGCCCGTGCCTCTCCGGCGAATCAACGCGCCGGGCTCGCCGGTTGTTTTTCTCGTCGACGTTCGCGAACGTCTCAAGCGCGTGCTTGCGGCCTGCTGGTTCAAAGTGTTCAAACTCCTCCATGACAACATTGACAACCTCGTGTCGGCTCGACGCGGGCCGGCTCCTGGTGTAACCACCGCGTCGAACGTCACAGTATTTTGTTCCACGCGCGTCACGATGTCACATCTGTGAGTTACGTTGTAATCATTACGATCTCTATCCGCATGGTTAATTATTTCGGCTCGTAGCACACGTGATCTCCGTGTATTTATCTCTGCGATTCGTTTTCTTTAAGGTGCGACTTCGATGGAACTCCGATTGTGTCGATGAGCGAAAGTTAATTCGACCGGCAGAATTGCTGGCAGCAAAATTTCTAACTACACAATTTAATCTTTTTTTTTCTCATTGAACCAAAAGATCCGTAAATTCTGTCCATATCAACAAAATAATAGTGTGGTGTTACTATCCAAGTTAATCGCGTTAAGTTAATTCGGAGTTTGGTCGGAGTTACTCTTTTCATATCGAATTCTCAGCTTTTCTCTTCCTTCAAATTTAGATTGAATATATATATATATATGTACTAAACGTGAATATATATGAATACTAATTTTATTTATACATTAGTGACAGAAATAGATGCGCCAAACATTATGCCTTGTCATCTCGCTTCAACGTGGTTATATGGACAGCTGAAGCATAGTTCAGACAATCACGGAATAATCTCGAAGGAATTACAAATTACCCATGAGAGAAGAGAAGATAAGAGGAATCTGTAGAGATAGCTCTGCTTCTCACAATAGCTGAAGGTCAGATTCGACAAACACGAATAGTTCAAAAGTACATACATTACATGTCGAATGAGCCTGTAACACTGACGTCAATGTGTGTATTGTAAGATTGCAAGGTAATGAATATAATTACTAGTAATAATTTATCGTGGTAATCAGTATTGTGATGGTAATTCAATATTAATTTCTTGACACGCAGCATGACGTCGAAAACTATATGCGTCGCTCAAGAAGGACCTGCGAATGCCTTAGCTCTTAATAAAGATAACAATCAGGTTGTGATAGCCGGTCGCAATGGTGCGTACATTAGCCTTACACTAGCTTGAAATAAGTGGATATGCTATAAATTATATGATACAGATTATTTATTGCAATCTGATCGAAATAGATTGTAATAGGTATAACAGTACCAATTAATTAATATTAGTGCTGTATTATGTATGAGAATTATATCGCAGTAATATTTTATTGCAGTTTTCAAAATATTTACATTGCTGGAGGACAGATTTGAAGAAGCCTGTAATCTTCGGGTGGGAAAAAATCTAAATCTGAATTTTTCCTGCAACGATGTTGCCTGGAATCTTAATGATGGTAATTCAATTGCTTGTTGTGACTATAAATGATATATTTTAAAATATCACATTTACATTGAATTTTATGTTAAACAATTATTGATATTGCAAAAGATATACATATACCTGAATTTTTCCTTATATCAAAAATCCTTGTGCATGTACTCAGTTTAACTACTTTTCTGAATGTCACACATATATTAACGTAATTTATCAGATAATTTTATATTACAATTATTATATTAATTTATAGATCATATACTTGCGACTGCAGCAACAAACGGTGCAGTCGTCTTGTGGAACCTGAATAGGCAGTCTCGATCGAAACAGGATCATGTATTTGTAGATCACAAGAGAACCGTGAATAAAGTAAGCTTTCATATGACAGAACCAATGTGGTTGATATCTGGCTCGCAAGACGGTACAATGAAATGCTTTGATTTGCGAATAAAAGAAGCTATCAAAACTTTTTATAGGTAAAGCTATCTAAACTTTTGTAGGTGAGCTGCATGAATTCGTGTTGTAGCCACAGGCGATCTACACAACTAATATATATGATAAAAAAAATCTTTTTTTGTTTGTTTTTTAAGATTTGTTTGACTTGAATAAAAAGACTTTATTTAATTTGATAGATAGTTATTATACATAATTATATATTTGTGTCTGTAGTAATACGGAATCTGTGAGAGATGTTCAATTTTGTCCGCAACAACCTCATACTTTTGCTGCTGTGTCTGAAAACGGTCATGTGCAACAATGGGATATGAGAAAACCAGACCGTTACTTTCAGCATTTCACGGCACATAGCGGCCCGATATTTGCTTGCGACTGGCATCCAGAGGCTACTTGGCTTGCTACAGCATCTAGAGACAAAACTATCAAAGTATTTAATTTTCTACATATTAATGTGAATTTTTGTGTGGAATACGCAATTACAATCGTACATTCACGTCGCTCCTAACTTTACAGGTTTGGGATTTATCGGGTAAACCAAGTTGTGATTACACTATACACACTATAGCGTCTGTGGGACGTATAAAATGGAGACCTCAGAAAAAGTATCACATAGCCAGCTGTGCTCTAGTCGTTGATTGTAGCATAAATGTATGGGATATTCGTAGACCGTATATCCCATTCGCAAGTTTCAATGAGCATAAGGATGTTCCTACAGGTGTGGCATGGAGAGGCAACCCGCAATCCTTTCTATCAACAAGCAGAGTAATACTGTCAACCACATTATTTGCTTTTCTATTACATATGCAGTACGATTTTTATACTTATGCTTTCACTTTGTTATAGGATTGTACTTTATATCATCACGTTTTTGACGATGCAGTAAGGCCGGCCAGTAAAGCAAATCCACAGAGTGTTGCAATAAATCTAAAACACGATATTACATGCGCTTCTAAAGTGAAATATGAACCTGCAAGTATCGCAAGACAGCTAAGTAATTTAATGAGGTGAATGTTTTTGTTATATACAAAGGAGTTGATTTTTTTTTTAATTTTAATTTTATTTAGATTTGTTATATACCTGTTCTTTTGCAGGAGAACGCCTGTAACAAATGATGATACCTTTTGCATGGCTTCAAGTGTAATGCATAGATTTCGTGGATGCGTACGCGAGCCGAATTGGTTTAAGATAGCCGCAGAAAATTATTTGCTTTCTGGAAATTTAAGTGAAGCCTGTGATCATAATGCACGTGTCGCATACGACTTTGGCAATTACGTTGTAAGAAGATACCTATATTTTCACAAATATATTGCACAATAGATAATACATACAATAATTTTAATATGTTTAATAATAATATTTATACAGGTTAGCAAAGCGTGGCAAGTCTTGAAGATCATGTATACAGATCCGTTCGAGATACTTCAAAAGAGCGCACCGACTGCGCCTAAAGAAGATACAGCTAACACGTCGAATATAGCACCAGGGGTAACAAAGAGTTCTGGTATGGAACAATCAAATGCGAGTAAACAATCAAGTAAGTATGAGCGGAAATATCATGAACGACATATTAATATTCTGCTATTATGGCTGCGGTCCACTTGACGCTACAAATGCTTCGAAGCATTCCTCTTCTCTTTTCTTTCAATGAAGAAAGAAGGAGAAGAAGAACGCTCCAAAGCATTTGTAGCGTCAAGTGGACCGCAGCCTATATCACATTACTTCTATAAATTTGTTATTTTTCTCAGGTCACGAACAGGACGCGAAATCTCTTCAAGGGGAAAATCCTACTGGCGTTGCTAGTGGCGGTGACGATGAAACTGAAACAGAAACTGAAGCGCCGGAGAATCAAAATACCATGGGACCATCGACTAATACGACATCGACTGTTCTGCCAAGGTACTATTACAATATCCTCATCGTCGCATAAATCCCAGAATTATATTGTGCGCGCGTATGCCGAGAACAATTGATTTCTGTTGGTGAAATTAGAGCACTTGACATTATCTAATTACAGGAGACCGTTGCTCAGCGATATACCTTCAACATCGCGAGGCGACTTTATCTTTGGCGAAACTGAATATGAACCCGTGTCTTTGGAACATCCTGGCGAAAGCAGGCAAACTGTGATGCGTATGGAGGATGACGAGTGGACTAAGGAATTGCAGAAGGAAGCTTTTCCTTTACGGCACGAGATCAAGGATCGGTCCCCGCCTCCAGAGCAATTTCCCAACCATCCGCCTGATCTCAATGAGAATTCAGCTTCCGTTATAGTTGAAGATCAACCTCAGTTAGTAGTTCCGGTTCTACCTAAGCCTTTACCCTTTGATTTTACGTCTCTCGTTCTGGACGGACTACGCTTTCACACGGCAATAAGAGACGTACAGACGACGGTATCGATGCTTATCGTCTTAGGAGAAATAAGGAAAAAATTAAATATTCCCGTAGCTTTGCAAGAACATTGGATATTAGAATACTTGGACATGCTCGGCAAATTTAAGCTCTGGCATGTAGCTACACAGGTTTGTTCATAATTAAAGAATCCATTATTATTTTACAACGACATTTTTTACTATATTTTGCAGAAATTATTGTTGAAATTCTGTTCTTTTAATTATTGCAATGAGATGAACATTTCTTTTTTGATACTTTTTACTCATAAATACATAAACAGATTTAATAAAGAATTTTATTTACAGATAATACAATTGGCGTGGATTCCTTCTATATCGCAATTGAATCAACAGTCGACTACGATACATGCATGTTGCGTAGCATGCACAAAATCATTGCAACGATCTGCATGGTTATGCGATCATTGTCATACGCCCGAACATGCTCTGTGTTCCCTTTGCAATCAGGTAAGAGGAATTTGACTTTTTTCATTTAAGCTCGTGAAATAATTTATATTTATTTAGAGTGAAATAAACTGAAATAAACACACAAAATTACAATGTATGAAATTACTTTTATCAAATGCGAAATATTTTATTTCGCTTTTATACAATACGTTTTACTCTTTGCAATCGTTCATGTATATGAATCCTTGCCGAAAAATTTGATTGACTTATTATATGAAATATATATAATATATAATAATACATAATAAAAAAAAAAAGAAAAAAAATCAATGTAAAGTTAATCATAAATGTTTCTATCATTCATAAAAAATTTATTATAATTGTGTTATGATAATTGATTATAATTAATCTGAAAATTAATTGCATTTGATTATAATAAAATAATTCTAGTATAAAAGATAAGAATAAAATTGTTATTTTTGATTGCGGTTATTTTCATTATGATTAATTTTATAATGTTTTTCGTGCAGGTGGTACGTGGTATCTATGTGTGGTGTCAAGGTTGTGCACATGGAGGCCATATAAATCATATGAGGGAGTGGTTTAATAACAATCGACAATGTCCTACTGGTTGTGGACATCTTTGTGAATACAATTGAGGAAATACGTCGACATTCGTTATAAACATTGGAATAATTTTAAATAAAGTACTACAATATAAGGATATCGTGACATATGAACACAGCAGAAAAAAAACTCTGTATAAATTAAATTTATATAATGAGATATTATTTAGATATATTCTTTTGAAATTATATGTACATATATATATATAGATATTTGTATATCTTATTTATCATTTCCCTAAACTTTTTTTTTTAATTCACGTAAATATATTTTACTATTATAATTCCGACTCAGCCTTCATCCCGCGTATACCTCTTAAATGTGATCGGAGAGAAACAAAACAAAATTTTGATAAATATTCTGTTGGCACTCTCTCTTGGTGTCTTCCTCGTTCATTTTATATACAATGCATTAATGTCGCACGATATTAATTGTAAATTTTTTAACTAATAAATGTCAGAATAAAAGATTATGTATAAACTTTTTAGTTATTTTAAATCTTTATTAATTAAATCTTTAATTGTTTAAATACTAATTCAAATTTATTTATTTGTTCTGGAAATATTTGCTTCTTCGGCCGATCGGTTTTGCGGCATCAAAAAATATATGTGACACCGAAATATATGTACACCGTCTCAACACCAACAAGCTGCGGAATGTGTCAAAATTTTTCGCACATTTGTTATGTACAAACTCCATAAAGCATACTTTCCTGTATAAAACTATCCTCGAGTTCCTCTTATAAGCGGTCTAAATACGACTAAAAATAATAATCCATTATACAAATGACTTTCTTTAAATTAACTTGATCTTCCTCTCTCTCTCATTATAAGCAGCGAAACAAACGTCTGAACCAGCATTCGAATATGCGTCTTTTGATCCTCTAAGAAAGCGTAAAATTTATCAGGAAAACATGATGAGCGAAGAGGTTGCAAGAGATGGCACAATTAAATTTGATTTAAATTTCGCGCCTTTTGATATCAAAGGTTTTATTGTTATCGGCGGTCGGTGAAGTAGATGGTAAACTTATCGACCAGCCTGTAAATTACCAACGCGGTCTAAGCGCGCCAAATGTAAATTGCGCCACTATACTTGTAACCTCCTCACTCGTCATATTTTTCTAATAACTTTTACGATTTTTCGAAGGTATCGAGACACGTGTTTCAACTCTCGTTTAGCTTCTTAGCTTAATCATCTCGGAGAAAGAATAAAAGTGTGAAAATGAAAAAGATCGTTAGCTAAATTCCGAGAAAATTATTTAAAAACGAACATACTACGTTTACGCGAGCGTTACTTCTGTAGTAACTTACGATAATTCTTTCGCGTAAACGGGAGTTTGTAGTAACTTACGATAATTTACTCCGCGTAAACGAGTGAATTATCGTAAGTTACTACAGAAGTAACGCTCGCGTAAACGTTAGTAATTATCAGTAATTAAATATTGTAGCGATCGATTTCTCCTCTCGCTCTGTTCTCAAAACGTATAGGATCCTATTGACTTATAGTGACTGTTAGAATATCCTAACTGTAGATTCAATTTAGTTATTGCCACGAATAATTACTTTTTTTATGGGTCGGACTCGACTAAAAGTTTTTTCTATTTGTTTCTTCTCTCTCGTGCCCATCTCTGACTCTCATTCTTCCTGTTTCACTCTATCCTGTTAACTTCTTAAATTGTTACAATTCCTAACAAGCAGAGATTTAATTGATATATTATTCGCTGTGTGCGGAGCAAGGTCTTAATTATGAAAAGAAGTAATTGATAAAAAATATAATTTTGAAAAAAATGATAAAAATAAAAGTGATTTTTTACATAAAATTTAGAAAAATTACAATTAAATACTACGCTGAAAAAATATATTGAGCTTTCTTCTATAAAGAAAAAAAAAATGTTTCCGCCCGGGATCGAACCGGGGACCTTCCGCGTGTTAGGCGGATGTGATAACCACTACACCACGGAAACTGATTGAGAGAACTGCTTTACTTGTAGCCTATTAAGTACACAGGTATATAACTAATAATAAACAAGTATATAAAATTTTAGCAAATTGTGTTTTCATTGTTTCCAAAATAAACTAATGTTAAATATTAATATCAATTGTCTTTCAATCTCTCTCTCTCTCTCTCTCTCTCTACGTCACAATTGGAATTTACCTAACATTGAACAAGTACTTGATAAAAGTTTTCTTATTAGCTGTTAATGTACTACAATCTTATTACCGAATTGCTAAAAGTTACTTCTACAATTTAAGTCTTTCATGCAATTTTACAATTTAAGTCTTACATGATTTATTTGAAGGTGATAAAAGCGGAGTAGTACTTTGAATTCTCGAATAATGCATCTCTCGATAGCGAAATATTATTTATTCAAGTATTATATAGCGGTTTACAATTTTAATGGAAATAATTAATGATGAGCAGCTGCTGCTTTCCTCATTTGTACTAGGATATTTCCAAGCTCCTCCCGCTTCCTCTTGGCACGGATGTGTGTACCCAACTAGAAAACAAAAACAAAATCGGAAATCTTTATTTTCTTTCTAAAAAACCTTTGACGTTTTCTTGCTTGGCAATACTGATTCCTTCTGAAGCAGATGATAAAAAAATTTCAGGATCTAAAAGATCCTGTCACTACACATTTTTTACTTTTAGCTTATTAGTTACACAGGTATGTAAAATTTTGGTAAATTGTGTTTCCAAATTATGCTCAAATAAATCAACGTTAAATATTCTCAATATCGATTGTCTTTCAATCTCTCTCTCTACGTCACGATTGACATTTACTTAATATTAAACAAGTACTTGATAAAATAGTTTTCTCGTTAGCTATTAATGTACAAACAATCTTGTATTACCAAATTTCTAAACTATCAACCATCAATATTCCATTGATCTATAAAGTAGAACGCAAAGCATTACAAAATTATGACATTATATTCCTGAAATCCGCTGATTGTCTGAAACTCGTGAGAAGACATTTACCCGTCTCTTCAAGAATTTCAAGGCGCGTTTATCCTTCGACACCTTCAACAACTCCATGGCGCGCTTTTCATAAGGAGCATGTCCTGTGACCTCCCGGATCAGGTCCCGCACGAACTTGCTGTGCTTGGTCTGCTTCTGCAATGAGAAATTGAGAAATGAATTATAACACATGTAAGAGAAAGGATAAATATCGTGACGTTTCGTGCAGTTAAATCACGGTGTATCGTCTCATTAGTCGCTTTCCATTTACATCAAAACTCAGATAATTCTAACTTGTGATGTCATTCTGTCTTTATTATTCATTAATTGCCAAAAAGGATAGAACGACGTCACAAGTGAGAATTATCTGAGTTTTGATGTAAATGGCAAGCACTTATTGATCGACACATCATATCACAATAACAATGAGAAAGGTTATAACTTTCCACCCACCCCTTTTAGCCTGGACGGCCGCAGGCAGACGGTCCTCTCCTTCTCGGATTTGCTCTTGGCCACGCGGATCTTCGTCGTTTTGTGACCCTTGTCGAGGCCGACGGCCAACTCGTATCTCGGAGCCATCCTGCGGACAGATATCGGGTATTTTAGGTTATTTCACGCGCGATGCTCGTTCAACGTAAACGTGCGCGAGTCGCGTCTGAATATAACGAATTGCAAATTCAACTCGAATGCCAGAACGAACACGTCGCTAGAATTTCTTTGATCGCGAACGGATTACGGCAATATTTCGAGATTCGAAATTTTGCTAACCTTAGCGACGAACGTCCACGTTGAGAAAGAAGCGTTCGCCTTCTCCACGCTTTTATACGCGCGCATGCGCGGCGCAAGGCTCTAAATCGACGCTGATCTGCGTAGATTGACGGAAAAGCAGGACGACGAAGTATATAATGCTAATTTCGTGCTATAATAATTTGCAAATTTGATGACAAGCCATTAAATAATTCCATCAATTTTTATAGTATCAAAATTTTTGAAACTAAAAAATTTATAATGTATTCTGAAAATCGCGCCTCAAATAAAATGTCGCATTTCCGTTTCCGGTAAGATGCGCTCTCTAGCGGGGGTTATTTATAACAATTATAACCTCAAACTGGTTACTGGTTAGGTCTCGAGACACGTGTTCCCAAATTTTAAGGACCGGTGGAAAGAGTGAAACATCCTGCGTCTTCCCGAAGGGAAGATATTTATTAAAAAAGAAGGGAGAAGAAGAAGAATACGTTGTCTTTCTAACGCGGGGTGCAATAAACTGAAAACAAAATGGTTTTGTACAATTTCAAGAAAATCACGGTTGTCCCAACTGCGAAGGTTAGTTACATACGTCGTTTTACATATTTATGTTGTAATATTTTATTTTATCCTTGCCTCGCGGACGGACTTCCGTCCAATATAGTGTTTTACATTATTCTCTTATACATTTTACTCAACTGCAACTTACTTTACATTTTACATTTATGTTTGCTTTTACGTTAACAGCTACATACATTTTTCTTTAACATTAAGTATAGTAATATAATAATATTTTTATGTTGTTATGATACCTTTTCACAAAACTGACTCTTGCCCCCTTCGTTGTAGGACTTCATCGACATAATCTTGTCGAAGACACAACGGAAGACACCGACCGTTATTCACAAGAATTATAAGATCACAAGGATACGCGCTTTCTACACGCGGAAGGTGAAATTCACTCAACAGAACTTCCACGATAGATTGTCCCAAATAATACAAGAGTTTCCCAAGCTGGACGATGTCCATCCGTTCTATGCCGACTTGATGAACGTCCTGTACGATAAGGACCACTATAAGCTAGCTCTTGGACAGATAAATACCGCTAGGCACTTGATTGACAAGTAAGAAAACAACGATTTGTACGCAATGTGTGCAAATAACAAGATTTATACGAGATATGTTTTATGATTACAGTGTAGCAAAGGATTACGTTCGTCTGTTGAAGTATGGAGACTCGTTATATCGGTGTAAGCAACTGAAGAAAGCCGCCCTGGGCCGAATGGCCACCATTATGAAGAGACAAGCGGCCAATTTAACGTATCTTGAGCAAGTTCGTCAACACTTGGCTCGTCTGCCAAGTATAGATCCGTACACGCGTACAATAATCATATGCGGGTTCCCAAACGTGGGCAAGAGCAGTTTCATTAACAAAGTAAGTGATACGTGATGATAATTTTATGATTATGAGTAATATTTGATGTAATTCAATTTCACACTCGATAGATCACTCGAGCCGACGTCGAGGTACAACCGTATGCGTTCACGACGAAATCTTTGTACGTGGGGCATACCGACTATAAGTACTTGAGATGGCAAGTGATTGACACACCTGGAATATTGGATCACCCGCTGGAAGAGAGAAACGTCATAGAAATGCAGGCGGTGACTGCTCTCGCTCACTTGCGAGCCGCTGTGCTTTACTTCTGCGACTTGTCAGAGCAGTGCGGTCATACCTTGGAGGAACAGGTGAGCTATGGAACATTTTTGTGTACAATGTAACATTTGTGAGTTTAAACGTAATATTTTAATAATATTATAAACCCTGCTTTTTTTGTCCATGTAGGTAAAACTGTTCGAATCCATAAAGCCTTTATTCACGAACAAGCCTTTGATGATAGTCTTGAACAAAATGGATATTGTACGTTTGGATGAGTTATCCTCGGAGAAAAGGGCTGTTTTGAAGCCGCTCGAGGACGATGCGAATGTGCCTGTGCTAGAAATGAGCACCGTCACCGATTTTGGAGTGATGGAAGTGAAATTGGAGGCTTGCGAGCGACTTCTGGCCTACAGAGTCGATCAAAAGTTCAAGACTAAAAAGGTTGGTTATAAGTTTTTAGTTAAAGTTGTTAATTCAAAAATCCTTTAATGTCGAAAAATTCGACACGTTGTCGTGTAATGCACGATTTGTAATGATTACAGGTGGAAGGGCTTCTTAACCGATTGCACATTGCTCAACCGAGAAGAGTGGATCCTAATCGCGTGCCGTGTATTCCGGAGAGCGTTCTGAAGAAGAGGCAGGCTGCCGCGGAGAAAGCTGAGAGAAAACGCAAATTGGAAAGGGAGATAGAGGAGGAAATGGGAGACGATTATGTGCTTGATTTGAAGAAAAATTACGATATCGAAGGAGATCAGAAATATGATGTTATTCCGGAAATATGGGAGGGTCACAACGTCGCGGATTACATAGATCCAGACATATTTGAAGTAAGCACAAACTTTATTTATCGAATTGTGTGAGACTGCCATGGCAAAACGTGTTTCTATGCCGTTCTTCCGTTTTCAGAAATTGAATCAACTGGAAAGGGAGGAGCAGTTGAGGGAAGAGGCTGGCCTTTACGATTATAAGGTGCCGGAATTGTCGGAGACGATGCGCGAGATTAAAGAGCTAGCGAAGCAGATTCGCGAGAAGAAGTTCGTCATGAAGGACGAGGCGCGAATAGTGAAGGCTTCCACGAAGCCGATTATGCCGCGTACAGCCGCCGCCAGGACCCGTGACCGATCGGCCGTGAAGCTGAAGGAGCAGATGGAAGATCTAGGCGTGGATATGGAAGATACCGAAAACGTGAGTATCGCGTATATAATCTGAGTGTCCTCAGATCAGAGAAAATGATTCAGGACAATTTTTCACATTTATTAACTCAGTCACCGTTGTATTTTGGAGTATTATATATTATTTTATATTCTTGTATCATAACTAGGCGCACTTCAAACGAACGAGAGCACGGTCCAGATCGCGGTCAGAACCATCTAGGAAACGCATGCGTGTGGAATCGTCACAGTCGCGTGCTCGCAGTGTCTCGAAACCGCCGCGAGATGAGATGGGTGTTAAAGATGTTGTGGTAAGTCAGAGATAATTGTTTGAAAGAACTTCAGCGCAACGATGATCCATCTACATCTCTAGGTTTTAAAAAAATTAATCTTAAATTGAAAAAATCAAATTTAAGTACATTAATTTACTCAAAAAGTGAACAGAATCCCTCATTTTAACTGTTTTCTAATTTGTGTGAAAGAACATCACACCTATTCGCGCAATAAATGGAAACGTAACGTTATTCTCGTATTTATTGCAGATGAAGACGAAACTGAAAAACATTGCAAACAAGGTACAAAAGAAGAAGATAGCCAAGAAGGGTCTCAAGGGCGAGGGCGATCGTTTTATCGGCAACAAGATGCCAAAGCATTTATTCTCCGGCAAAAGAGGAATCGGCAAAACATCCAGGAGATAAAGTTTTCATTCATATCTTACACGTTACTTGTACTTCTTCGTTTGTATCGTATATACGTCTGTGTATATAAAAAGGAAACATCATCTTTGGAAATGTAATTTTCAATCCAGATTGTATTCGAGGTACTATATCGAATGTTACATTAACCGACGCTCGGATAACTGTCGCTAACCGATTTATATTTGATTTATGATCAATAATGCGATTGTAGTTTGTGAATGAAACTCCTCGCGTTTCGCGTGTTTATTGAAGGAGACAGCGGAGATCGGTTTTTCGTTCCTCCGTCGTTATCAGCTGCTAAACAAGCATCTTTGACAATAGTATTTTTGTGACGGCCCAGCGTGGCACGAATGCGCGTGGTTGCATAATGCACACAAGGTAACCTTCGAACTCGAACGGGGTAAGCAGCGGCGTCACGCTCAATGAAACTTTATTGCTGTCGTAGCGAGATAACCCCTCGCGCCGATGGTAGATTTCACATTACGTTCTATTCATAAAATCACGACACTCGATTCGACTCAATGTGTCGATTTTGTAGTTGTACGATTCTAATTTTAAAACATTTACGAAGTTACAATTATTTAAATAATAAAAGTGATTGAATATTAGTAAATTCGACTCTTAAACTGGACTTTGCTTTAATTTCATTACTCTAAATATTATTGAACCTTAATTGATAATATATCGAATTAAAAACTTGGAAAATTGTGGAAAGTTTTCTTTGGAATTTTCACTGAAGATAATTATTCTAAGTTTACATGATTTTTTTCCATTATGATTTAGTCAAATACCAGTTTAAAGTGATAAGAAATAGAAAAAGTGAACGAGCTTTTTTATCGAAAACTATTAGAAATTATGTGTAACGATCATTGATTAGCGCAAATTTTGTATTGGACGTTTATTAGCTTTTTGGACTTCCGAAGGTTTCGAGTCGCTATAATGATAGAAATTAATACAGGAATGTAAGAAAAAAATCTGTTTATATTTTGTAAAAATGTGTTTTGAAATTCGCGCCGTTTCGGACCTAAGTTTGCATTACTTCTTCGAAATCGTGTTCTCCTAATATCCTGAATTTAGCTACCGAATTTAAATATCTGAATTTGCATCTTTAAAGAGCGGGATATTTGAATCGCATTTAAGTTCGTTAACCTCTTGTCGCGACATGCTCCTCTAATGATTTTGACGATTTTTCGAGTAACGAAAGACGCATGTCCCAATTCTATCTCTTGTCGACGCAGCAGTAGATTCACAGGAAGCTATAAACTAATGAAATTTACGAGAAATTTGACTAGTTGGTTAAACAAATGAGCTAATTTATGAAAATTTAAAATATATCCCAAATATATTGTTGAAATTTTCAGAAACGCTTTTTTAGGAAAAAGAGGATAATAGAAGGGCCATCTTGTATTGTTTACCTATGAAGTTACAATAAAAATAAATAATATCTTAAAATCGTTAAAACTGATCCTTTACCCTAACACAATTTTATTTGTGACTTTATTAAAGTATCGATTCAAAATTTTTAAAAATTGTGAGAAGCAACGGTTTCCCTTAGCAGAAGATTTCTCCTAATTGTTTTTAAATAAATCTAGGCACCAACGCGCGGTAAGGAGATGAAAGAAAAATAAGCGCGTCTGTTTTTCTTTTATTGAAAACTGATAGATCATATATTTAAGACTTCGCTATAAACGGATCTCCAACGTCGGATAAGTTGACAGTAATTAAGACGGACAGGAGTAACGATGGTAAAAGGGCGCCGCCGTGGGTGATTAATTAGATTATAATTTACAATAGTGTGCGCGATCATAAATTTCTATACAATTTGATATATCGGCGCGTTAGCAATACAATTTTCTCATCTCGATCTTGGTTGCGCGCTCGACAAATATACGATACACGATTATTTCATAGATAAAATGCGAATATATTATTATTTCACAGATAGAGCTCGAAATATGTTCACACATATGCAATGGAGATTAGCGTGCGGCGGCCATCGATCGGCGGCGAATATCGCGGAAAACGCAATTTTTATAATTTTTGCAACGACGTAACACGTGCTCGCGATCGTCAGACTGCATTCGCGGGGGGAAGGGGGGAAGAATCGAGAGATTTTACGGGGCGCGCTCGGAGATTCTAGTCGTAATACTCTATAGGAACTAACAAAACCTCGATACAAAACAAAAGGTTCGGTAAGAGCGAAGACTTTTAGCTTGTGTCACAAATTACGTTAATAGACATCGACCAGCTCCGTTTCGCGGGAGCTTACGCGATGGTAATAAATTAACAGATAGGGGCGGGCATGCGTTATAGATACACGATGACATTATGGCGTTTCGTACGGGGAGAGGGAGACGCTCGCCCGGCTAAAAAGAAACGGATCTCGACGCAATCGTCATCGTCGACGATCTGCTTCCTTTCAATCGGACCCGGAGAATGTCCTAATATTAAATATCGATCGCTATGTAATTAAGGAATATAACGTGACAAGTAAATATCGTTAGTATCACAGTCGATGCGCGAGACCCCGAGCGAGTCGCAGGGGGTCTGAGTGTTCGGTGATGCCTCGGATCGTCCGAATCATATATCAAAAGAAAAAAGAGAGAGAGGAGTTAATGGAAGTCTGAAGGAATCGCGGAAATGCACGAAAATCCTAAAGTCGCTCGAACGACCGTACATTTTGTTTACTTTCGTCATTATCAGTATATTCATTATTAGTTAGTATCTTAACGCGATTATATTCGCGGCATCACCGAACCGCAATTCGGACGATTCTTTGGTGAGTCCTCGGTAGACTGTTTCGTTCTCTCTTCTTTCTTCTTCTTCTTTCACGAGCAGGCGCACTCCAGCACCTGGATATTCTTCCAGTAGGACACCTTCAGCTGCGTCGAGTCGTTCTCGTCGAAGTAGACGATCATCAGCTGGTCGAGCTTGCTGGGCGCGCAGCACGGCTTCGGCACCCGCTTTCGGTCCTCCTTCCACAGCAGGCTCTGCAGCAGAGCGTGATGGTGCGCCGGGTTGTAGCGGGGCGGGCAACGGCCCTTGCAGTAGCCGGCGTCGAAGCCCTTCGGGTACACGATGAACTCGAAGCCCTTCAGGTCCTTGAACATCACCGTCAGCTCGTGCCGGCAGCACTTCTTGTTGTTGTCGCCCTTGCACTTGCTGCGTCGGCCCTTGTGCAGCGGCATCAGCTCCTCGGGGGTGGATCTCTTCCTCCTGCCGGCGGGCTCCGACGTGGCGAACACGTTCAACGCCGCTTGGGATACCACGCGCCGCGTCGGCCGGCCGTCGTGGAGGAACTCGAGCTCGAGGCCGTGGTTCTCCAGGCCGTGCTCGAGCCAGCCCGCGGCCGCCTCGGTGGTGTCCAACTCCAGCCATCGGCCGGAGCCCGTCGTCGGCTCGGATCCCTGCGGGATCGCGCGCCGCAGCAGCAGACGCCGGGAGACCGGCGTGCGGAGATAGACCAGCGCCTCGAGATCGCGCGGACGTCGGTGATCGCCATCGAGGAGGAATCTCAGGGACGCGTGATCGACCGTGACGTCCTCCGCGTTGCCGGAAATCGCCACGGGGAAGTACAGGGAGTGACGGTGGTGCTCTCCCCTACGGCTGAAGCCGAGGCTCGATTTGTTCCCCGGATGCTCTGTAATGAGAAAAAAACGCGGAGACACGCCGATGAGTATTGTATATCGTTACGTAAACCGGAGAAGCCGTGAATGGAAGTCGGAAAATTCGCGTCGCATAGCGTCATTACTTCTAAACCAGGCGAATGACGAATTCTTGTGCCATTAGCCAAATTCTTACGATATATAATTTTAATTGCGCATTACGCTATAAAATGTGCAAACTCTATTATATAGATGCGAATTATTAAAATGATAAATTGTCTTTGACACTTATCGAGAGAAGACATTAATGTTATTAGTAGAATGTAATGCATCGTGTAATAATATATAGTACCGTGTAATGGCAATATCGCCTCGGTAAAATGTAATTAATCAGCAGAGAATGTTGCGCGTTACGCAACATTCGCCATCGAAGCGCGATACCTGAAACGAATGGAGGATATAACAGATTGCAGTCTTCGCGTATTATAATAATTGGCACGGGGAGGGGGGGGGGAAACTCCGGTTTCGGTGTGGGAGGGAATTGTATTTCCGCAAACACGCGCGGGAGACCGCGCGAGAGTTTTGCTCGTATAACCGTGACTCAGTTTCGCTTCGTCATCATTGTCAACGTGTGGCGTTTTGTGCCACCGCGCCACACACACTTATATATACCTCGAGAGATTTACAGATTATATTCACGGTAAATTTAGAGCCCACCGCGGGCAACAGCTCGGGCCATTGTCTACCGTTTACACCGTCTCGCAACGAGAACGGACCTTTCCGTGACCCTTTCACACGAAACCAGACCACCGAAAAAGAAACGTGAACCGATTTAAATTCAAGTCGATGCCTCGATGCTGACATACGAGACGACGCTTTAACACCGGCATTTATCGCTCTAATTTCCTCTTCCGCAAACAAAACAAACCAAAGAATTCTTCACGTTTTTACGATGTTTTTCAGAAAAAAAATTTTTTCCTCGAGAATCACGCTTGATATTGAATTTTTAATTAAAATTCAATATTAAAATAAAATATTGCGACGACGACAATAAATAATTGATAATCTTGTAACAAAGTAATATATTTTTAATTGAAACCAATTATTGACGACGACGATAAAGCGATAATCTTGTGTAATAAAATAATATATTATATTTAAAAAAATTCAAAATATATGATGCAGGTTGATAATTCGTGCGATCGTAGTTGCTCCTCGCGTCCGAGATAAATTTCGACGGAGCCGGGAGGCGATTGACGAGGGAGTAGCCAAACGGAAACCGCATGTTGTGTCGCGGGGTTGCTTTTTAAATGTCGCATTACATAAATGACAGGAACTGCTGAATTCCCGAGCGACGCGCGCTGTCACAATTGTCTCACGCGTATTTACGGGTGCAGATGCACGCGCGCGCCGCGTTCCGCGCGGCCGCGACGAGCATTCCTGCGAACGGAATGGACGATCTGCTGTTACTCGCCTACGCGAAAACATTGGCAGAAGGATTTTCGCGAATCGCGAACCACCGCCGGATACTCGTCGCGCATAAACAAACACGGGCCCGCGATCTGAGTCACGGAACGGTATTCGGCCTTCCGACAAAATCGGCCGCGGCGCGCGAGACCCACGAAACAACCCGGAGATATATATGCTTCGATGATTTTAGGCGAGCCCTGAATTAAATCCCCTTCCGACGCTCGCGCGACGAAAAAAACAAATCTGTGACAATCTACACAGAAATAAAGAAATGTCAGATCAAGACTTATATATACTCGTATATACGCAATAATCTATAATCCTGAAATGAGATATATTGCGTTAAACAACGAAAACATGCTTCAATGAAAACATTTATATAGTTCAACCAAGAGAAAAAAAAAGAGATTAAAAAGTTGAAATTCTTATAAGATTTATTAGATTGTTGCAGCGTATACACGAGTATATAAGTCTTGACTTGACACTTCTTTTCTTTTTCTGTGTAATAGCTATCTAATAGCGATCTAATCTATACCTTTAAATATAAAAATAACAATTCAGTTGTTTGTTAGATTTGTTCCGATAATAATCCTCCGCTTCCGCTCCGCGCGGGACTCTTATTCCGCGAGGAATTCGGCGTGCTTCGAAATTTCGATTTAACGATGACGATCTGCCTCGTTCCAAGAAGTAAAAAAACAGAAAGAAGAAAAAAATGTCATTTTTTTATCCGCGATACATCACTTCTTCTCGAGATATTGCCGGGGGGAATTGGTCGCAGGCCAATAATCGTAATACTCCCCCGAACGAACGTAATAACGAGACCGCTCAAAGGGAGGATTTAGAATTTGTAAATCGCTCGTTTCAGCGGCAGTAAAAGTCACACACTCGGAGAGGAGAGAGGAGGGCGCGGGAATCTGTGGGAGGGAGATAAATTCTTCGCGGAGAGAAAAAGAGAAAGAGATAGAGAAAGAGAATCATCCTCGGCTTCGGTTGCCGGGGACCTGGGGGGGCATGCATCCTCTCGCCTCTCTCCGTTCCACCTTTTCACTCTCGGCGCTGATTAAGTCTTATTTATGGGGCCCGCGAGGCGGTCCTCCAGGAAAACTCTCGCGTGGCCATTGATTATCCACGACGGCATCGGCCGGCTACACACCGTTTTCCCCGAGCCTCTGTCGCGGCGCGTTCGAGTGGTCGGGAATGCCGCGATGATAATTACGAGGATTCGGGCAGGAAGAACGCTCCGTTAGGGACGAAAGGGTCTCGAGTGTATCCTCTGCGAGAGAAAGGGAGCGCGACGAACTTTCCCAGGACAAGGGGGACGGCGATACGCCACATTTTCATCCGAAATAATTCCACGGGCGCATTATCGTGCTTTATCATCTGTTTTATCTGGTCGCCACTTAGATTTACAGCTGTAGCGATTAGGAGTTATCTCGATAACGGGGGGAATACGAGAAAGGAAAGGCGGAAACAAAGGAGCCCGAGTGAGGGCTCCATTTGATTTATCTCGAGAGGCA